GGCTACATAGACCCTGCCTCAAAAGTCGGTGCCCCTACACACTCAGCAACAACCCCCCCCCCACCTTCATTGCACACCAAGAAACAAAAACAAAAAGAAACATCTGCTAGGCTGTAGCGGGCAGCTACCTCCACCCTACACACATACCCCTTTCTGATTGACCCGCTGGCAGCTCCCCCCACCCTACACACCCCCTTTTCTGATTGACCCTCCGGCAGCTACCTCCACCCTACACATCCCCTCTTTCTGACTGACCCTCCCGCAGCTACCTCCACCCTACACACCCCTTTCTGATTGTCCCTACCCGTTCTTCTGCATCACTCTGGGCCACCCCTTCTCTGGAAATTACCCCTTCCTACTGAGTAACCCAATTTCTCTGTGCCAACCATTCTGGTGTCACCTCACCCTTTGAGTGAACCCTAGTTTGGATAATCTCTTTCCCCTGGGTTACCCCTTTTCTGTAAGACTCCCCTCCCGTTCCACTGGATCAATCTGCCTCTGGTCACCTCTTCTCTGGATGGACCCCCGTTCCTGATCTAGAAGATATTTCCCTTACTTCCTCCGGACTGCTCCTTCTGGGACCACCCTGCTCCCTAAATGACTCTCTTTTCAGGGTTATTTGCTGTGTCGGCTCTTTTCCTCTAGATAATCCCTCCCCTGGTCACCTCCTGTGCATGATCCTTCCTCTAGGTGACCCCCTTTTCCCCGGGGCACCCACCTCTGGACCACCCTGTGTCACCTCCTCCTTGGGTGACCCCTCACCCCGACCCGTCCCTGGGACGCGGAGGCCACGGGTGGCACCATACGCACCTTGCTCGCGCGGAATGCGCACCAGGCAGTCCACCATGCCCTTGTAGCGCGCCTCGGGGCTGATCTGCTTGGAGGATGCCTGCACCTGCAGCAGCAGCTTCACTCGCTCGATGGGGGCCACGGCTGTCTTTGACACGGCGGCCGCGACGCCGCCGGCCAGCAGGTCCTTCGCGAAGGACGCGGGGTCGAACAGCGCCTTCTTGGAAGAGGGCTTCTTGGAGTCGCTCGACATGCTGGACAGAAGACGGACAAACGACGGCCACAGCGCCACACCGACACCCAAGTCACAGCGACGAGGACCGGAAAACCGCTTCGGCTTTATCCTGGCGGGAAAGCGGCGCTAGGGATGCTGGGAGAACAGCGCATCCGGCACGGGCCTGAAGAGCTGCGCAGGCGCGCCCAACGGCCTTGCCGCCTGGCTTGGTGCACGTGACCCCAACACGTGTTTCCCAGTGCGCCTGCGCAGTGTGCAGCTGTTTGTCCGTGGCGCGGGGAGGGGGGCGCACGGGGGCCGGGAACGCCCACTGAGTGCTCCAAGATTAAGTGCTTCTGATTCAGGAGCCACACTGCAGTCGCTGCTGCATCCGTGTAATGCCGGCAGGTGCAGGCACCTTTGGCTCCATAGCTAATGTGAGGCCAGCCTGGGCTACGTGAGCCCCTGGCTTAAATAGACATCACGGCCTGCTTTAGCCGGGACCATTAGTCCAGCTACCCTGGACATGGGATTTGTCGTTTTCTCCTCAGAAGTCAACATGTTTCGCTGCCTTATTTTATTTAAACTGAAATTGCCGTTAAATAGTGATTCTCGATTGAAACCGAACATTCAAGGGAGATAGGACAGTGGCGTTGGATTGTTTAAATTTTTGTGTTAAACTGGGCCCTAATCGTTAAATCAGTTTTTATGGAAAATCAATTCTCTTCGTAGTCCTGGCCGCCCCGGAACTAGCATGCAGACCAGGCTGGTCTTGAACTCAAAGAATTCTGCCTGCCTCTATCTTCAGAGTGCTGGGATTAAAGGCGTGAGCTACCATGCGTGGGGCTCCCTTTGGGGAATTCTGTTTTGCAGGTTTAATAACCGGTGACTTTCTAAGACAGCAATTCACAAACTTTTTTTCCTCCACAAACCTTACTTTTAAAACTTGCTAAAGTCTATACAAACCTTTTTTGTTGTTATTGTTGCCAAATATGCTGACAAGTACCATATTAAAGATCTTTAAAAATGTTAGCCGGGCGGTGGTGGCGCACGCCTTTAATTCCAGCACTCAGGAGGCAGAGGCAGGTGGATCTCTATGAGTTGGAGGTCAGCCTGGTCTACAAGAGCAAGTTTCAGGACAGGCACCAAAGCTACAGAGAAACCCTGTCTCCAAAAAACGAACAAAAAATACACTTAATCAGTTAAAATAATGAGAAACCTATTGCAGAGTCATCAATAAATTTTGAATTATTATTGTATTTCGGTTTTCAAGACAGGGTTTCTTTGCGTTATCTTGGTTGTTCTGGAACTTACTCTGTAGACCAGTCTGGCCTCAGATTAGAGATCTGCCTGCCTCTGCCTCCCAAATGCTGGGATTAAAGCTGTGCCCCACCATGGCCCTTGAATTACTATTTTTTAAATTGTGAGCCAGTATCTTACTCTAACCTTGGCTGGCTTCCAATTTATGGCAAAATTCCCAGCTTAGCCTTTGGACAGTAAGCCACAGTGTATAGCTAAAAGTATAGTTTTATTTATTTTTTAAAGTCCCTTGGCAGGTTCATATATTTAGTGAATCTTAGTTGTTTTCACCCTGGTTATTTGCATGAAATCATGGATTTGGCCTTGAGAGGCACGCCATAGGATTTTCTGGTTAGAGTCCACGGCTCCTGGGCTACCATGTACCTTTCAGTTCCTGAGGTAGTCAAGCATTCCCTTAGGCAGTGAAGCATTCAGGCTGCTGTGTGATTCTGGGTTCCCTAGAAATTAGTGAAGCCTATAGGGGCTTGGCAGGACAGTTGGTCTAGCAGGTTAACAATTTATTTTTTAATTTTATTATTTTATTTATTATGTATGCAATGTTCTGCCTGCATATATATGCCTGCATGCCAAGAGGGCACAAGATCTCACTATAGATGGTTATGAACCACCATGTGGTTGCTGGGAATTGAACTAAGGACCTCTGGAAGAGCAGCCAGTGCTCTTAACTTCTGAGCCACGGGTTGACATTTAACTCATGGAGTTCACAGTTGGGTGACAATGTTGCTGGCTTTTCTCCCCAGGCAGCCTACATAGTACCTTCCTGCACTATGGAAGCTACCTACCAGGTAGGAAGTCTAAAAATACATTTTCTGAAATTATACACACACACACACACACACACACATAATTATATATATTATTAAATCAGAATTCATGGAAAAATTAGGTTTCTCTTTGCCACTCTAGTCGTTCAGGGACTAGCATATCTATATCTATCAATTATATATACTATATATTAATTATTTTTAATAATATAATTATATTATATGCAAATGTAATTATATATAATAGTATTGTTTTATACTTTTGAAAATTTAATACTTGACAAAAGACAGTTGGACTAAACATTATCACTTTGGTTTTTGGGCAATATTGCACAGGCAACCCCTAGAAAATTCTTTCCATGTATCAGTAGGACAGAAGCTATGATGCTTAATTTTCTTCCATCTGGCTTTTTTTTTCATCAAATATACCAGACCTCACTATGGCAGCATATACATCTTCCTAATTGCTTTTTAAAGCTTTTTTTGATGCTTTTCAGTAAATACAGAGTCTGCCTTACCTTTTATTTGGGACGACCTACCAAGAACCTTGAGATACCGCTCTAGGGCCGGATGAGTTTTAGCTGCTTTGAACACAGGAACCTAATTTCTCACTGGTATCTTAAGCACGCTATTACCTTTCTAATTTTGTATCTAGGCATTCAGGCCAGGATCACAGAGCAGGAATTTTGTTAACATTTTGATGTCTGCCTATGACGTCAGCTGGCAAGTTCTCCTGGTTCCATGCATTCCCACCCACTTCCTTTCCAGTGTGGCTCATCTGCGTGTGTCTTCAGTCTTTATGTTTAATAGGCTGTGTCTGGATTAACCTTCCTAAAGCAACCACTTTAATCATCACTCAGAGATTTTTTTTTTTGCAGCTAATCTTCTTATCAGTCACACTGATTTCAAAACCCTTTGTAAAGCCCACTGCTAATTCCAAAAGTGAGCAGCCCCCTTTTTGTTTGCCAAGACCCGTAGTGAAATGCTTCAGTCTCCTTTAAGTAATGAAGTGTCAACAAGAATGCTTGAAAAAGTTTAAGGGAGGCCTTCAACGACTCTCCAAGTAAGCCTGTATTTTAAGATCAGGATCTATCTCTGGCCCTAACGGACATGGTATCTCTGAAGACATAAAAACAAGTCCGCGGCCTTCAGGGCCGTTTCCACTGTCCCACACTCCACGCTCATGTTCGGTGTGACAGCTGACAACAGTATTGCTTATTCCTTTCTGTATCCTCATCTGCACCCAGTGACAGAAGACCAACAGGAAAGGACTTCCTTAGAAATGTTACCTTTTGACACCTAGAGCACCTAGTCAAGTTCTCAGTCTAGACCTGAAACAGACTGGTTCATGACTTGTTCCACTGATCAAGGACAGAGTCTCAGGGTTTACAGCTATAAAACTACTTGGGCGGGGCCTCTGTGCTGTTTACTCTTCTCTCTTCGAGAATCAGCACAGTTCCATCTTCTCACTTCAGCAAATCCTTCCCAGGCCACCACGTTTACCAGCTTCACCCCACAGCTTCTTACTTCCCCCTCTTCTCCTCACATTCAGCCGAATACTTTATCATATTTGTGGTCTCCTCTGCCAGGGGAACACAAACTCTGTGAGGGCAGATGCCTTACTATTTTGTTCGCTGCTGTCTCTGCAGTATTTGGCAGTGTGTAGAAGTTCGGGAAGCATTTGTTGGGTAAGTAAGTGTCAGTAAAGGTGACACAAGGAGAGCGATGGTTCGGTGAGTTAGGGTAGCCACTGCCAAGCATGAAGCTCCATCCCTAGCACCCACAGAGTAGGAAGAGACAGTAAACTGTGCCATGGTGCTTGTGTGTGAGCACATGGACACATGCCTGTACACACACACACACACACACACACCACACACACAAAATGCAGTCATTTTAAAAGACAGTTTATAATGCAAACAAACCTCCAAAACACTTTTATTTAAAACTCTGAATAATGTAGAAAAATAGCTTTAATTACATACAGAAATAAAATTCTTTAAAATTAAGTTAGTTCATAAGGTTTGGTTTTTAGGTTCAAGTTTTAGTAGCACTATTTTAAAAGATGTCCAAAATATACATCCTTATTGTCAACACAAGAGTAAGCCACAGTTTCCCCAGGTCATTCCTGCCGTGTTGTGCGGTAGTAGACTTGACTCAGCTGTTTCCCTTGCTCTCAGGCAGAGGGCACTTAACGGTGGTAAGCAGTAGCTGCAGCTCACAGCTCATACTTTATAGTATGTGACAACCACAGTTGAGAGGACACACTTTAACACAGTGGTCAAAGCAGCCAAACCTCGTAGACTGGTTTCACAGTTTTTTTTTTTTTCAATTTGTGTCAGAACTATTTAGACAGTGATTATTTCACAATTACCATTTTGTTAGGCACACATTGTCATCCACTGTCCCTTGGCACAAAAAGTGAAACACTTTGTACCCTCCTAGGTACAGTTCTCTGATGTGACAGAGCCAAAAGAAAGCCAAGGATAGGGAGAAGAGGGAGAGAAAGGGCAAGAGTCTAAAATTTATTTGGGGCCAAGAAACACATGACAGAAGTAATGAAGTCCTTGTGTTTTGTTTGTTTGAGATAGAGCCTTGTTGTATAGCCCTGCCTGTCCTTGGATTTATTATATCCTCCTGCCTCAGCCTCCTGAACACTGGGATTAGAGGCATATGGCACCATGCCTGGCTGTGTCTGACTTTCGAGGAACGCTAGGTAGACACTGTATCTCATGTTTTCTGGAACATCATTATTAGGATGTGAATGAAGCCTAACTCAGGAAGGTTTCTCTGAGAGCCCATCGCTATGGGATCTGCACTTGTCTCTCTGTCCCCTCCCTGTAACAGAGGCAGACAGGACTTGAATGCCAACAGTAAGACTGCATTTCAGGTGTGAGTCTGAACTATTCAGACAATTGGTCAGCTAAGTTTACCACCAATGTTCCCCTGGAGATGAAAAAGAGGTCAGCATTTTATTTTTTGAAAATGCAATGCCTCTTCAACATGGACATTATAGTGTTCAAGGGCCACACAGCAAATGGCCCATCTTTAAGATCTGTTATCTGCTTTCTGTTTTTACACCCCTTTTAAAATAGTGTTCTTATCGTTATCTGACACCAAAAAAGCACCAGCAGATGAAAATTTAACTGGGAAAAAAGTTCTCTGTATTAAAATTTCAAGTCTTAGTTTGTTCTATTTGAAAATCTGAGGTGACCACGGCTACACTGAATATAATGATCAGTATTAGAAACAGCTTTGGGATTTAAGGGTCTATTCAGAAACTTAAAGCATTTAATAAATACGATTTTAGAAGTTCTGGAACACATACGTTGGCACACAGGCAGTCTGAGACAGAGGACAGCCTTAGCCAATTTGACTCTTGTTAAGAGGGGAGATAGTTCAAACTCTTTTTAACACCTCAAGATCCAAAATTTCCTTCTCTGCCTTGAAAGCTGAAATTAAAGCCCAGAAGTCACTGGTGATATAAACAGCCGGTGTCTGTTACCAATGCCTCAGTGAGAATCTCTTAACTGACAACAGAGGGGTAAAAGTTTTTCTATAAGACCAAATGGCTCAGGGTGCACTGATACGCTTTGTAATTTCAGCGGGAACACTCATGTTTAAGGAGGGAAAATACAGGGATGAACTTTAGATCGATTTCAGTTAGCTTCCTTCCAACATATGTAATCTTTGAAGGAGAAGCTAGCCAGGACTGTAGTGTGTGGGGACTATTGAGTATGTGGGATGCCCACCAGGGTAGATGGTAATAATAAATGTAGTATTTACTATATTTTTTTCAATATACTGAATTCTCATGACCAATGAAATCAATGTCTACGCAGTCTTCTCTACTACTGAAGCTCAGGGAAACAGCTGTTGGTTAAAGTTCCTCCTCTTTCTTTGGGAAAACCCAATACAGACTGATGCTTATCTCTAGGACAAAAACTAGTATTTTGTAAAAGAAGTTACCCTATGACACTGTTAAGCAGTTTGGTTCAGTGTTTTCAAAGGGATTTTATTTTCTAATTGTGTGCTTGTGTGTATGCACGGTGTGTGTGTGTGTGTGTGCGCACGCGCTCACATGCATATCTGTGGAGGCCAAACTCCAAACTCCAGGATTCCCTGGAGTTACAGGTGGTTGTGAGTGGTCTGATGTGGGTGCTGGGAGCTGAACTTAGGGCTTTTCCAGTGAGGTACCTGCTCATGACTTCTGAATCATCTCTCCAGCCCTCTTCCAGTCTTTTTAGTATGATCTGCTAGAGTGATATAAAATATATGTGTACCAGAATGTATTTCAACGGAAGAAAAAAAAACTTATAGATTATTAAAAATTTAAAAATAAGTCTCCTAATCCAAAATAAAGCTTATCACAAAGAATAAAGAGAACTGAATAAATATAAATAAACCTTAACTTCCATCCTTCCCCTCTTCCTCTGCAGGAAGGGATCCACTAAAATACTGAGACGAATGAGAAGGCTTTTGATTTGCTAAGAAACCAGAACACAACTATTGCAAATTTAGATACTGACTAATACACACCATGAAAACAATGCATTTTTCTTAACTGGCATTTTAAAAACTCCCAATGCAGTAATAATGTTATTAGTACACAGATTCTCTGAGCCTGACAGGTGCAGGGCTCCTCACAACACAGAGCCCACCAACTAGAGAACCTCATCATCTCTTCTATTTCACGATCCCTTCACCGTGTAAGTCAGCATTGGGTTTCAATTTAAAAAATGAGTTGAATATGATCCCCAAATAAACATCTATATTAATTTTTTATTAAAGAATTCACATTATTTAAAACTATTCAATAAATTAGCATGGTATACCAAAATGGCAATAAATTAGTAATTGTGTCTCCATACTCTGACCCAGGATCTGCTCGGAGTCTGACACACCAACCCAACAGCCCTGCTCTCGACATTTAACAAGAGAAGTTCAATACTGGAAAGTGACTAAACTGAGCCTTATCTTTATGTGTTGATTTTGGCCATCCTGGCACTGTCACACGGTCCATGTGTGTTGCTTTGTATCCTACAAACACAGCTACAATGTTAATCCAAAGAACAGTTTAAATGCCATCTCAACGGCAATTTCTGTGACCGAGTCGTGAAAACACACATACAGTTCCTGAGGTTTTGGGTGAAGGAAGAGCCTCCTGCAGAAAGGAAAAAAACATGGTCATTTCAGAAATTAAAGGTGATAAAACCTTTTCCTTTTGTTTTCTTTCAGTTTCGGGAGAACCAATAATAGCTGAAAAAACAAAAGACAAACAAAATACCCACCACCACCACCACTAACACCAAAAGCTCATGAACCTAAATATACAGAAAATAGAATAGAGCTTGGTTTCTAAATAAATATGTCCTAATTAATGCTACTGTCCTAGAGTGTAAACCTCCTATTTAATCAATGCACATCCCATACCCCTCGGTACTGAATATTAAACCTGCTTATTATTACTATCTATGCAACACTTCCTGGGGAAGTATTAATCTTAAGCATGGTAGTCATGAATATTTTATTTCCACTTACATTTTTAAGTTGCTATTATTATTAATACATAAAAATTACAACTCATTTGCAGATAGAATTGGACTAACACTACATTTGTGTGTGTGCTTGAGTATTCATGTACCTTATGTTGTGTATGTGTAGGCAAACAGACAGCTTTAGGCATTGGCTCTAGTCAAAAAAGGTGAAACAAACTCCATTGTCTACTGCTGCTAATCTCAAGCTTTCTGAGCTTTTCCTGCCTGCCTCCTACCTCCCCAGAGCAGCACTGGAGTGACAGATTGTTCTACTGTCTGGCTTTACATGGGCTCTGGGATTTGAACTTGGATCTTCATGTTTACAGGACAAGTGTTTTACCCACTGATTTATCTCCCCACTGTTGTGGTATAATCTTTTTGGACACTTTGAAGATTTGTCACTAGTATTGGTTTAATAAATAACTGAACAGTCAATAGCTAGGCAAAATTTTGGGGGCAGAGAGGATGCTGGGAAGAAGGGAGGAGATGCGTGAAGAAGCCAGACAGATGCTGAATGAGTCAGACACAAAAAATGGGAGAGAGGTAAAAGCCATGTAATAGAATATAGATCAATAAAAATAATATAGATTAATTTAAGTTGTAATAACTAGTTAATAATAAGTCTAAGCTATTGGCTAAACTTTCATAATTAATAAGAAGTTTCTGTGTGGTTATTTGGGAGCTGGCAAGCAGCACAGAAAAATCTGCCTATACCCGACTGTCTGGTTCTTCTATCCCTTGTTCTGAACGTGTACCTTCTATCCTTGTACTGGGTGTGTATCTACTTGGTATTACCTGTGGGCTGTGTCCAGATGAATTATTGTAAACACAGCTCTGATGGTATTACACAATTACATTCAGGCTGATGTTCTCAAACCTAGTGGATTGCCTATCACATCACAAGGGAGCTAAAAACCAGAATCCTACTCCCAGATCTGACTCACTGGGTTGGGGCACAAGTGCAGGACGCTCTGGACTCCACAACTGATTAGGTGGTTCTCATTTCCATGGACCAGTGGATAGGCATTGGTTTAGATCATTTGTAAAGTGCTTATCTTAGTTATAGGTTTAGAACTACATGGTAGGTGTCTGACTATGGTCCTACTGAACCCTCCCCCACACTCACCCCACCACCCAGTAAGCCATAACTGGCGGACTTTTCTTCTCATCGGTCCAGTTCTCAGGGGAGCATTCAAAGAGCACACCATGCTCTTTCACGGGAGTCAGAGACGACACAGAGTCTGCAGGCTCCGGACAATCTCCACCACGCAGCGCTCTCCTTCTCTGCAAGCCAACAGCAGTCATGAGTATTAACTATACTGACAGTGCTACTAGAAAATACCGGGGGCCGGGACTGTAGCTCAGGGGTGGGATTCTTTCTTAGCATGCACAGAGCCCTGACTTCAGTCCCCAGAGCAGAAAAACAAAATGGTTTCACCTAAGTCTCCAAGCATGGTGATGACAATGGCTGGCTCTGATTCTAAATGTCTACAATGGTATTACTCTTCCTGCTCACCTGCAGAAAATTCCTGTTCTTCAATTCTTGGTTTAAACATTATCTCCTAAGGTAGATTACAAGCTTTCCCCCTAGCAGAGAGCGAATATTATTTTTGCCCTTCCCTCCACCCTGTCCCGTCTCTAAAGCAGGGTCTCACTACACAGCCCTGGCTGACCTTGTGGCACTCTTACTGTCTCTTATGCTATCACGTTGGTCTTTTAAGGTTTGTATGTCTGTATATGTGCCCATGCCAGTGAGTGCCCAGAGAGACCTGCTCTCCTTCTGTTAGAAGCTGTGCTCTCCAAAGAGCCAGAAAGCCCTCTCCGTCTTTGTTCCTGTCTGCTCACAAACTGCTTGACACGATCAGGGGAACCTGTACAGTAGCCTGCACCACTTAGCCCGACTCTGATTAAATTCCTCTCGACACCCACTCTGGATGTGCTATCAGCCACTTTGTTCAGCTCCTTCGCGAACGCAAACAAACACAAGCTTGTTTTCTTTCCTAGCACCTGGAATAGTGTCGGGTGCAGCGCAGATGCCTTAACAGGTAAGGCCAGTTTCTGTCACTAAATGTGACTGAACTGGTTGATCACATTGCCAGAGCACCCACCAGAATGCTAATATAGGAAGAAAGAGCCCAAGAAACGAAAGCAGGGAGGCCTCCCTGGTCAAACACGACTCGTCCTGTTAATAATAGTTTCTGAGACCCTGAAAGCACGGAAGATGGAACTCTACTGTGGAATGGGCCCCGACACGTGATATAATCCTGCTGGATCACTTTATAGCTGAGGAAACAGGAAAGTCAGGGCTCCTTATTCCTAGCCCAGTGTTATTTTAAAGCCAAGTTTTTCACAAAATTGGTATGCTGCATACATCACACGTGCCTTCAGAGAGCTGCTCATGGACAGATGTTAGATCAGTTACAACTCCCTCTCCCTTGCTCTCCTACCTTCTTCCTTTGTTGGAAAAGATTTATTATTCATGAGTATATGTGTGCCCATGCAGTTACTGCATCATGTGTGCAGAGGCTGATGGAGTCCCAAGGGTGTCAGCTCCCTTGGAGCTGGAGTTACAGGTGGTTGTGAGTCACCTGATGTGGTGCTGGAAACCAAGCCCCAGGACTTCACAAGAGCAGTAAGCGATCGTAACTGCTGAGCCACCTATCCAGTCCTTCTTCCTTTTTGTGAGACAGGGTCTTAGGTAGCCCAGGCTAGCCTCAGACTTACTGTCAGGCTAGAGATGACTTCTGAATTTTTCATCCTCCATGGTGTTGGGATTACAAATGTGCACCACTGTATAGGTTTACTCAGAGTAGGAAATGGAACCCCGGGCATCCTGAATAGATAAGCACTGTGCCAACTGAGCTGCAGGCCTGGTCATAAAGCTCCATAACGAGAGAGCAACACCAATTTTCCAGTCACCACAAGAATCCAATTGATCTATTAAATATATATATATATATATAACTTAATATTAACTATATTTAATAAGTAGTATTAAATATTACTACTTAAGCATGGGGTGTGGGGCGGTGGTGGCATATGCCTTTTATCCCAGCACTTGGGAGACAGAGGCAGGAGGATCTCTGTGAGTTCAAAACCAACCTGGTCTACAGAGCAAGTTTCAGGATAGGCTCCAAAGCTACACAGAGAAACCTTGTCTCAAAAAACCAACCCCCCAGCAAAAAAAAGAAAGAAAGAAAGAAAAAAAAAACCCAAGAAATAAAAACAAAAACATGGGTGCAACATTGAAACATCAGATGTCAATTAATAAACATTTAAATTACAAATCTCAGATACGAGTGGCTAGCTGACACTATAAACTACCAATTTTGTACCTTGTTGTGGAAAAATCAGACCAACCATTTCCAGAGGTAAGATTACAGACCACAGAGTTCAGTGTAACTGAGGTAAATAAAACACTGATGGTCCATGTTGATTAAAAAAAAACAGAGAGTTAATATTGGCAGAAAGCTATATTTAAATATTTACCTCTTCCTTCAATGTCTGTTGGAAAATTGCACGAATAGAGAGACAACACCGATGGAAATTCTTAATTAGCTGAGCATGGACGGAACCGCCTAGCTGAGCCACCTCTTCATGGGTGGGGGTGATGAAGATGCCCTGAACTGTTTCTAAGGCGACATAGTGGAAGAGTGTATTCTCCGGTCCGGAGGTCAATCTTGAAAAGGAGAGAGAAGGAAATTTAAGTAAAGTCAGAAGAATTATTTCCACTTTCAATTTTGTATCATTCTTACAAGACTATGTGAAATAAATTAGCAATACAACCATGGACAGAAGGCTGAGCCAAATGTCTAATTCCCTGCCCTTGACTCAAGCACAGGCTAGGCTATTCTTAATTCCCTAATGGAGACAAACAGTACCAGCCATGGAAGGATAAACACTAATTCATTTGCAGTGACTTAAATTGTCTCTTTGCTAAACAGTCAATTGGCTGGGCCCTCTTTTTCCATGGTTCATAAGAATGACTGAGCTTATGTTTGGCTTAAATTTCAACAAGCCATAAAAATGGTATCAGTTTCAAGTGGGGCACATACGATATTATCTCCTACCAAACTAAACACATTGAAATTGGCGGCACTAAACTTTGTTGCATGGCAACAACATTGAGGATTAGCAGCACAGCTGAATTAGCATCCTCATCACCGTGCCAACAGTTGTGATAGCATTCCAAACTTTACCACACCCTTCTCACTTAGACTCAGTTCATCACGCTAGAGGCAGTGGGACCTGGGAGAGTGGAGCTGAAACGAGGCCGGCTAAAGTCCCATGCAACAGCCAACTTTATTCAGAGCATCAGACGGTTTATTCTCTGAGGGTTAAGCGGAGTCACGCCAGTGAAGTGTACAATCACAGGGTAAGCCGCACACAGCAGACAAGCCACATGTACCAGAACCATGTTTTCCCATAGAGGCATATGGACAGTTGTCAATAGCCAGCTGTAACGGACAACCTGAAGTAAACTCACTCCTAGCTGCTACACCTGGGAGGGGCACGAAAGCGCGTTTCAAGAAAAAGTCCATACTTTTGAAGAAACTGAGGTCACAAGATTCCGGTCTTTGTTTCTTGGCATTTTTCTCATAAGCACTCAGAATTCTCACATGACTCTATTCTTGAACCATGCTCCAAAAATATTCATTTACTGCTTTCAGTTTTTCTTTATTTTCAAAAATAATTTCTTTAACTTTATGTGCCATGTGGGTGCTGGGAATTGAACCCAGGTCCTCTATAAGAACAGCCAGTGCTCTTAACCACTGAGCTATCTCTCTAGGCACCCAGTTTTTCTTTTTTTTCCTGCCTCTTCCTCCCGTACATAATCTCAGACAGGTCAGCAGAACCTATGAATAATGTTTACATTTTTCCAAAGGAAGAAGAATTAAAGAATAATAAAAAAAGCAAGAAATAATAACAGTTCCCATGAATGTCTTCTATGTGCCACAGTGTGTGCCCGAGAGTACCTCGATTTCAGTTTCCATAATGATCATGCATGAGAGTAAATGTTATTCTGCTCTCTTAACCACTGGGAAGCAGTGTCCTGGGACAAACTGGGATAAACAAGCAAGTGGGGCTTGGCGACTTTGCAGCTTACTCTTTCTGTCCCATCTTCTCTCTACTGCTGAGCTCCAGGAGCTGGGAGGCCAAAGAAATAAAGCCAGGGAGGAAAATGGGGCCCTTGATCATGGAGGTGGGGGCAGGCTGGGATTGTGGAAACAGTGGATGTGATTGCCACTGAATAAAATGCTTGGTATAAAGGATTTAAAATCATATATTTACCAAGGTGTGTATATACAAGTGAGAGTGATTTATTTAATAGCATGCTTTTAAAATGAACTTTCCACATACTTAGAAAGTATCTCCATCCTTAGGATGGCGGCGGTGAGACACCCTCGTATGTGAATTCTACTTCGACGTGTCCTATTGCTTAAGTGCAATTAATTTTGTTTTGTCAGCTGGTCTCACACATGACATCAACATTTAATACCAGGCAGGACGATTTAGGCAGATCAGGTAGTTAGTTGCAAAATAAATGTAAAAGAAGAGCTTATACGGTTGCTCACTCAGTAAAGTGCTTGCCTTGCAAGCATGAAGACAAGAGTTCAAACCCCAGGACCCATGCAAAAACCAGGGCATGATGGTGCACATTTGCAACTTCAGCCATGGGAAGGCAAAGACAGGGGAGCCCTGGGAAACATTAGCAAGCTGGCCTAGCATGCTTAACTCCAGGCCAGTGAGAGACCTGCATTTCAAAAGACAAGCTAGGTAGCTCCTGAGGAATGACCATCAAGGTTATCCTCTAGCTTCCACTCCCCAGCATACACAAGCACATCTGTACACACACACACACACACACACACACACACACACACACAGACTGTATATAACACTTCATAAGGTAATTATACATTCCTTCTTTAGTCGGGTCTTTTTACTTCAGAATTCCTTATTCAATATGAGTTTGAGTGTTATCTGTTTGTTCAGGACCAGTTTCTAGGACCCAGAGTCTGAGAGGGAGACACACGGGGAGAAGTTAGTGGGGTGTGCTCTATGGAACTGAAGCAGAGGGTTGAGTGACAGAAGCAGGATGCAGGGACAGAGAAGCTTGAACCGTGTGCAGTTCTGACAGAGGTACCATCTACTGCCTGGGACCAGGAAGCATGGATGGCCTTTCACAGTTGTCTCGAATTTAGGCAATTTCCAGCCCTTCCTTCTCTAGACGTTCAGCATTCTGAGTGGTATGCCAGGAGCAACTATCACTTACAGGCACGGGGCTAAGCATAACCAGGCAATTACTAGAGTCTAAAATTAGTCTTTAAACTCTTATTTAAAAAGTAGACATCCTTGTTGGGTGGTGGTGGCCCATGCCTTTAATTCCAGCACTCAGGAGTCAGAGACAGGCAGATCATTATGAGTTCGAGACCAACCTGGTGTACAGAGCAAGTTCCAGGACAGGTTCCAAAGCTACAGAGAAACCCTGTCTCAAAAAACAACAAACAAACAAACAAACAAACAAGTAGACATCCAAAAAGTACATTACCTGTGGGAGAGAGGTAAAGAGCAACTTCTATATTTTGAAATACTCTTTTGGTGTTTTCATTAGGATAAGAATATGTTCATTTCCCCAAATGTGTAAATGAAACATCACAGAAATACCATAGGTATTACCTCATACTGTGAGCTATACCATAGTTATGCTTGTTGAATCATCTCTGCACTTTCTCATGGTGAAACCCCTCAAGGACCACGAGTTTAAAGTGAAAAGCTATGCTAGAAGTTTCTTACTTCATCATGTTATAGACTTCCACGTCTTTTTCTGTAAGTTCTTTTTTTGAATTTCCCAAATGAAATGGATTTGGAAGTGTCGACTTCTTCCTAGCGAGCTGGAAGAGAAGTAGGTCAGTTTGTATTTAAGAATAGGATCAAGGAGCAGAACCATTCAAAAATTTCAAAACCTTCTAAGAGTGCTATTTTCGGGATGCATTTGCTTCCATTAAAGACTTTTTATGCCAATCTGCATCTCCTGGCTTCTTTGCTAAGGAGAGTTCAAGGTCAAGTCAGGGGGCATGGTGAAAAGTCCCCACCAGTTCTATTATCAAATGTATAAGCAGTGTATTTGTCTCCCTGTTGTCTGGATGCCTCAAGGTCACAGATGTGTCTTACTCCTGGCAGCTGATTAGACCTGGGGTATATATAATTTACCCAAATCCTCATGGTCTCTGTCACCTACTCATTTTACCAACAGAGACAATAGTTATACCTAGGACACGGGCACTTCCTAATACCTTCTACTCATGGCTCCAACACACCCCATTGTTTGTGTAGAGCAGAGAGACTATCCATGCATGTGCTTGCCACAGCACTCAGGAACATGGAGCCCATTTTCAGATTCACGCTTCCTTCTGCCTTGTCTGCCATCACCTCCATCCACTTGACAGAAAGTTTGAGAACTGTCTGGGGAGCCCCCAGCATCACCGGAGTATGTGCTAAGCTCCTGGAGTGATGATGACTCTAACAACTGTTTGGGTATTTTATGGTACGTATGGAAAAGTAGGCAAAAGTCATACCGTCAAGTATGAACACCCTCTGTGTGACCTTCATGGTCACACTTCTAATGTTTGTGACATTCGGAAGTGTAGATAAAAAACCTTAGCTATTACAAACAGGCATCTCCTCCTCACTCTGATCATTTGTCCCTGTGAAATATTTTACTGACTATTTAGAGTGACAGAGAAACTGCCCCACAGCTAGGATGTTCTGTTATGAACACAGAAGAAAGGCTGATGGATGTGGACCAAGGGCTGATGCTTCTCTACCTGGAAGCACTGTGGCTTGAACGTCCTAGATGCCAAGGGCTCAAGTGGTGGCACCTGGTATTTCTTTCTCCTTTTAGTTCTAAGTCTTTGGTTTTCCAGCAATGACTAAAATACCCACCATTTCAAATAAGGACCACTCTCTAAATTAAAAAAAAAATTCTAACTTTTATGGATCACAATGCAGACACTTGGATGAACGCGCACCTTAAGCACTGCCACGCTGTCCTCCGAGCCATCGGCTTCTCTTTGCTTCCGGACTGCATCTGGGGTAGTGTGTGGGCTCAGACCAACACCTTCTCCACCTTCACCAGGCTCACATCCGCCACTGCTCCGGGAGGGACTGGGCTTCCGTGCCTTGAAGGAATAGTCACTGAAAAAGGTTCTTCTGCATGTTGGAGAGGTTGCTGTTTTGGCGGACCCCTGTAGTCTACTGAGGATAGGTGAAGTGGTCAAACTATCAGCCTTTTCACGTGATGCAGCAAGGAACCAGTCAGCACAAGACAGGCAGGGCCCCGGAGATGAGGCTAGCCGTTCCTCAATGCGGGAGTCTACTCCTTCCAGCTGATGAAGAGTTGTCCTGACCTGATCTACATAGATACAGTCTGGACCAGGATTCCCAATGGCTTTAGATGAACAGCCTCCAGCTTCTAACAGCACACACAACACATAATGGCGCTGCAAAGGAAGATGGGTACAGGTTCAGCTGCCATGGAAACACTTAATATAGCCCATATGTGCAGACTTGTACTAAAGGCATACGGGCATTTGCGAATACTAGGTGAGTACTGAAAACCTCTCTTTTTTCTTTTCTTTTCTTTCTTTTTTTTTTTTTTAACCAGCATCAAAGCTTCTTGACCTAGAATGGAAACAATCTCATATTGTTTTATTTTGATAAAGCATCAATTCACCATCAGTCAGTTCTCTTAGTCCATGGAATTTCCTAAAATAACTTCCAAATAGCCTCAATTATCACCACCATCATTTCAGACAGGGTTTATGTATAGCCCAGGCTGCTAAACTCAAACATGGAAATCCTCTTGCCTCATGGCCTTCCAAGTGCTGGGATTTTAGGGACCATCACCATACAGGGCTCAAATCTATATTGCTTCATGTATTCCAAAACAAGCCAAAAGGAAAAGCCATGATAGGAAGGGGAACAAGACATCTTCAGACCCTGCTAAAATTGCACACTGGATTTTTACTAATATTTCTTCATGAGTATTAAATAGATACAGAAGGAAGGAAATAGAGTGGCATGCAACAATTCCTTGAATATATAACTCAAGTAATAAGTAATTAACATATTCTTACTTGTAAATCAGCATGTTTGCTTGTGTATTTAAGCAAGCAGATTTTAAAAGTATAAAATGAAATTCAAGAAAGAAGTTCATAACTCACCAGTCCAACAATTAGTAAAAAATATCTCCCTTCAGGCTCCTGGAAGACCTCGGTGTCTGAGTCTGAAGGAGGCTGGAGGTGGTGCCGCGGGAAGACTTCTCTCCATACTATCAGCTGGCCAATTCTTTGCTTTGCCGCTAAAGGCAGCAGGCAGTATTGGCGACAGTACGCAGCAATCTCAACGACATCATCCTTGGGTAGATGGCTGCACACCAAATAACCCTGGGATTTAATCACGCAGAGCCAAAGCGTGGGTAACAAGAATCGATGAGCCCGCACTTGTAAGAGTTTTATAAACACTGGAACTGTGGGCTTATAAGATAACGGAGCTCTAAGGCGGGTAAGTTAAGATCTGGCAAAATCCAGTCAAACTGCAGATCAAGTTTGACAGCTTCAGGGACCCAGCAGACAGGTGACCTACACAAAGCAAGGTCACCTTGAGTGCTTGGTAAAACTGGGACTAGAAAAGGAAGTAGGGCCAAGGTTGGCACAACTGGTTCTTTTCTGTATATCCTATATCAGCTGATTTTATGGTATGTTATTTATTGTTTTTAAAGATATTTTAAAGCAAAATACTTACACTAACTCAATTCTTTCTTTTTTTCTTTTCTTTTTTTATTTGAGACAGGGTTTCCCTGTAGCTAAGCAGCTAAGGAGCCAGTCCTGGAACTTGCTCTGTAGATCATTCTGCCCTTGAACTCAGAGATCCGCCTGCCTCTGCCTCCTGACAGCTGGGATTAAAGGCATGCGCCACCACTGCCTGGTACTGATTTGATTCTTAAAACTTTACATGGAAGCAGTTACTCAAAATATAATATATGTCACTTCTGAAGAAGAGGCTAAAAAGAGCAAGAACACTACTGAAAAAGGAAATGAAGAATGCATTGCTGGAGAGCGCTCCGTGGGTAAAGGCACGGGCCACCAAGCCCGATGACCTGAGTTCAACCCTGGGAGCCCCACATGGTGGAAGGAGAGAACAACTCAGTTGTCCTTAGACCTTTACATACGCTCTGTGGCTCATGCACGCACACATACTAAATACATGAAATTTTTTAAAATTCTAAAAGAAAAGAACATACTGATGTTCTCCTTTATATATTTAATTCTTTTAAGTACTGTATGCCTTAACAGACAGTAAAACATCAATATTTACTGCATTTATAAATCTCTGCGGCCTTATTTCCAGTCCATAGTCTTGTGCCCACACACAGATGCAAAGTAGTAACATTTCTTCTGTGTGCATAAAAGTCGGAGAAAATTTACTTTAGGTCTACATATGTTAGCAGTTGAATACTGATAACTATTTCGAGCTTCAACTTACCTTGTAAAACAGAGAAGATCCCAAAATTGTGTACAGCCGTCTCATGTCACAGTAATCCTCAGACTGGGGGGAAATTCAGAGCTGATTTACAATGTATTTGTAATATGGCACTTATTTATTTATTTTTATGTAAAAGATAAAATATTAAAGCTAAACTGCAACAATTGAAGTAAAAATTACATTTGTTAGAAATCACTTTTTCTTTTTGGTGTTTCTAGACAGGATTTGACCAGGTTGGCCTTGAACTCACAGAAATTCACCTGCGTCTGCCTCCTGGGTGCTGGCATTAAAGGCACAAGCCACCACTGTCCTAGCAATGACTTGTGATGGAACCTTAGACATCCAAATGCCAGGGGACCAGGGTGAAAGCCCAGTGTGTTTCCACGGCCCCACAACATCACAGCACACATCATCGGCTCTTCCATGAGGGCTCTGAAAACAACCGCTATGACAGGAGCTCCTCTTGTCATCCACAGTACCCAATATCACCAGGAGTCACTTTTGAAAGCACAAATTGGCACAATTTATTTGTGGGCAAGTGCATGATATTTAAAAATTAATCAAAACACACACACACACACACACACACACACACACACACACACACACTATTTGAGTATCCCCTCCTCCAGGGATCTAGACGAAGGCTGAGTGAATCGAGACATTTCTGTGAAAGTCAATAGTTCATTTGGAATACAGAGATTAGAGACGAGGCCACACTCAGGAATGGAGGGATGATCAGCTAAGCCTGGTGTTGTGTCGGAGAACAGTACAGGTACTGGAACAGTGCAGCCACCAAAGCTACTGGATGCGCTGCTCAGCAGAAAGTGCAAGTTCCAGAACAAAACACCACTCCATCTGTGTTTTGCTGATCTGTTTTACTTTCCCACAGCTATATGCAATATGTATATCCGTACACGTGGGCTTCTGTGCAGAAATGGAAGGGTACAGAAAAGTCTAGAAAGATCCATTCCAAGCTCTGAGAGCAGTCACTGCTGGGATGCCAGTGGGAAAGCATGAAGAGAAACATTTGTCTTCCCTGTTGACTTTATCCTCAATGCAGAGGAAATGAAAAATCAGAAATAACTAAGTGTCTGAAACTGTGTTCCATCCATAGGAATAAGGGCACTGAACGAAGCGGGGCATGGTGGTACATGCCTGTAACACCAGAGCTTAGAAGCAGAGGCAGAGGTGGAAGATAGAAAACAGCAGTATCGGCTCCTTTGTGTCTACAACTGTCCAGACTGGACAAGGCGACTGTGAGAGTCAGCTTGTTTCCTCATATCTTGCCTTTCCCTCTCTTACTACATTATTCTGACCAACCCCAGATCCACTTCTGTAAATAACTTCAGAATGCACTCTAAGGGGCTGGAAAGACAGCTCAGAGCTTAAGAGAGTTTACTGCTCTTGTAGAGGACCCAGGTTCAGCTCTCAACCACCTGCCACTCCAGTTCCAGGGGATCCTAGTTCCTCTTCTGGCCTCTATGGGATCAAGCATGTGCACAGTACATATACATACAGTCAGGTACAAACATACACTTCAAATAAAATACTTTTTAAAAAAGTAACAGAAGAAATATTATAAAAATACATAGCCATCATGCCAGTGTTGAAAGATTTATTCTTATCTAATACAAAGCCATAAGTACTATATATCCTTAATTGTCTCACGAATGTCTACTTACAGATATATATACATACATACATATTTAGAGAGACAGGGCCTTACTATGTATCCCAGGTAGGGCTTAACTTGAGGTTCAACTGCCTGTCTCCTTGTTGCTGGGATTAAAGGTGTGCACCATCATGCCCCACTTCATTAATATTTTGAAAAAACTTGTTTGAATGAGAAGCCAAGGAAGACTATACAGTGGACTTGGTTTACACGGTTGTCTCTTCAAAGCCCCTTTCAAGGTCTTTATCCTCTTGTCTCTGCCTCTCTCCATCTTTCTGTGATTTATTTATTTGTTGAAGATTTCCCATGTTCCCAGTCTGGATTTAACTGATTGTAATTTCCCTTCTACAAATAGAGTCATGTGACATGCCCTTAATTTAATGGTGGTAGATGACATAATGCCTCCTTCAGGTATTTCATGGGTGGCTGTGTCCTTCCACAGTGTAAATAGTGCGAATGCAGCATCACATGGGACGTGGACCCCAGGCAGGTATCTTAACTGACACAGGGACATCCATACTCTACTCCCTACGCAGGGATTCTGGACCGTATAAATGGATGGGCTTCAACAGAGTACTTTATCACAGCCAAAGATACAGACGCCATGGCAACTGCCAACAATGTACTGCCTGCTGTCCTCTTGATCTCTGTGGTCACCTTGAGTGTGGTTCAGACAAGAAAGGAAACATGAATGTCTGGTTCTTCCCCGTGTCCCCAGTTTTCACAGAAATGACTTGGTTCCCTTTTTTCCAAGCATCATGAACTTACAAGCTTCAGTGCCCTGGATGCCTTCCCATGTGTTGAGTCAGCCCAGTTTCAGCCCCAGTACACACAACCTGCATCCATTCTGAAAGTTCTAGAACATTCCATGTCTCTGAGGAACTTAGCTCCTTTTGGCGAGGAGTTGCTTATATGCAGTGGCTTGAGTGTTAATGATATTAATTGTTTACTGACAACGTATCTGTTGGTCTTTTCATTGGGGAGACTGAGGAAATGGAAATTTTAAAGAGTTTAAAGTCACTCTGAGCGTTCGAAGTTAAGTTCAGACTTAGTGTTCTCAAATCATCAGACCATCTCCATCTCTGTCCTCACAAAGTCCTAGTGTTTGTCAAGTTAATCACTGTCTAACCTCATTGCACACATTGTGTAACTGATATTTCAGCTGAATAGAAAACCTTGGGGCAAGTAGACATGGCCAGTGTCAAAACAGAGGCCGAATGCTCTAAGCCCGCTTCACAGATGCTTAGAATGACTAATTATAGAGAGTTCAACATTGTACCTCTGTGGAAATCCTCCCCTTCTTACCAGTTCTTCAAAGTCGTTGGCCTCAAGGTCACTCAACGCTGTGTCCAGTTCCACCTGTGTGAACACAAGGAGGAGCACTCAGAGCTGCCTGAGGGACTGAGCAAGTATCTTTCTCGGTCGCACTACACAAGAAATATCTCTAAACGGAACATGTTATTTTTAAGCTTTGCAAATATATAACATTAACTTATTTAACGTATGTATTTTTTTTATTAAAAGTGACTGAAAATGGTGAAAAAAACTTCTGATCAACACAAAACAATTTATGAGATTAAAAAACTGTTTTGTGTTTTAAGTTCTTTTTTTTAACTTGTTAAACTAAGCAAAATGAAAATCACTATTAATGTGGTTAACTGGTTCGGGTTGCTTTTCCTGCTTCCTGTGTATTTTTGGTCAGCTGGATTCTTCTAGTCCTTCTCCTAGAAACGATGACTTGAATAAAGCATTGCCAATCGTTACTCAGATTAAAACATTACAGCAGGAGTCCCTGGGATCTGGCACAGCTTAACTTCCCCACAGAGTTATTAGACAAAAATCTTTTACATAGGATTTGGCTTCATTTCCATGGAAATTGCTGGAGCTTTTCCTTGAAGCATCTATATTTAAAAACAGAGTAAAATTATCCTGCAATGCAAAAATGTGTAAACATACAAAAAATAGTTACTTAAAAATGTAGCATACACACTATGTGTAAATAGGGATTTGCCTGCTTTTTTCTCTTGTTTTCCTTAAAGGCTCAGGCATTCTCTGCAGGGCTGAGTCCCACCTGTGTTGTATCAAGACAACAAAAGCTCCTGAGACATTAGTCATGCCTCTCAATGCTTTTCACACAGTGTGACTTATCACTCACTTGTGACCCACATTTCCCTGCACCTAGCAAATGCTTTGTATTCTCTTGTTTGGTGAGAACCCTTTACCTTGTAAAAAAAAAAAAAAAAACTGTCAGACAAAGAGGACAAACACTTGTAATTTTTTATCTTGGGCTAGTCTGTGAATTTTGCTCTACTTGGTCTCCAGGCTGATGTTAGACTAATATGACTAACTATTCCGCTAACAATACCAGTGTGCCCGAGGAAAGCATGGTGAAAAACTCTCAATCACCTGGGAAAGAAAACCAAAGGGAGACCTCATCATATACTAAACTTGGAACAAATTACTTCCAAATTAAAACCAAATACTTCCACTGAAGGCTTGCCAACTGCAAGTTGCCTCACAACTACTTTTAAATCCAAGTCTTTATGGGATTAAATTCCTTACTATTGTCATAAGAAGATACGTTGTCAATAAAAGTTACTATTCTAAGACAGCGAAAAATCTCAAAGAAAAGAAGAAAATATTCACTGAGCTTTTTGCTAAAACAAAAGCTTTGGGGATCCTGGTTTCTGGTCACACATGTAGAAAACCTGAAGTAGGTATTCAGTCCGAACAAGTCAAAAGCTGAACAGCACAAAAGGTCAACTTTTCTGTTTCTGAAAGAGGGGCGAGAATACAGCAAACTGCTGGCCTCAAGCTCTGAGACACAGACAGACAGACAGACAGACAAACATAGCCAGGTACTCATAATAGCTGCATAAAAGACTCAGGAGCTGAAACCCCCAACACAGGAGAACCTGCGCTGTACCTGGAAAGCCGCCAGAGGCTCTGTGTGGGTAATTTCCACAGCTAAAAACTCCATGGAAACCCAAGCTGCTTGGTCCCCCAAGCTTTTGTGAGTTTTCCCACCAGCAGGCTAACCAGGTTGCCACAGAAAATGCCCTCTTGTCTCTGACACTAAAAGGGAACTGGAAAGGGACCACTGCCATTCTCTAGAGCACTGGGTTTTCCTTAACAAACCCGCCCCCATGGAGAAACTAGTTAACTACAGCACAATCCCATAGGATGTGGCAGACCTGGGGGTAAACACAGTCGGCAATAGCCTTCCTCACTTCAGAAGAGGACCACAAAACCTCCTATGTTCCCACATAGGAGGGAGATGCCCAACCCTGGCTCATGCTAGCTAGCCAGCCTGTTCAAGCAAAGAGCAGAGAAGAAACCTGACAAACAATGCTAAGGACCGCAGTCCACCAACCTCCAGGCTCACTATGGGCTGAGCCCTAACCACGAGCCAAGACCACTTTCCCTCCTGACATTTCCCCACCTCCTTAACAGGGCCTCCAGCTAGTGGTCCTTCCCCATGGAGATGTCCAAATACCAAGAAAACAAATCACAAGGCACCAACCAGCGACCCTACATATTTAGGACAGAAAGTATCAGTTAAAATATGGCTAAAACTAGACAAGGTGAAGGCTCTGGAATTAACACTCAGGAAATTTAAAAGAAAATGACCAAGACACTATGTAAGAAAAGCAGACACTGAAACACACACACACACACACACACACACACACACACACACACACACAAAGAGATAGGGAGAAGAGGGCCGGCGACTCAATCCCGGAACAAAAACAGAGGTGGAGAGAGGGACCTAAGCACACCAACCCATCCTCTGACCTCTACACACCACGGCGGCAGGTCTTCCTCAATTAGTAAGTTTTTAAATATTATTTTAAAAAGAAAATGAGCCCACTCAAGGATTAGAAGGAGGCAGATGGTTCTGATTCTTATCTAGGACCCCTAAGATTACCTTGAGTTCCTGTGGAAGTGTGAGCCAACGCACTCCAGGGAGGCTGTCCAAAAGCACGGCGCTGGCGGCATCATACTGTTGTGCACTGGGGCTGGCGCTGAGATGCAACCTGTCAGGCTGAAGAGCTCGTTGAAAGAACAAGCTGAAGAAATGATCCAAGCGAGGAGTATTCTCAACCTGGCAAAAGGCGCTGAAGAAACAGGAGCTATTGTAGGTTGTTTTACTCTTTTGACTCTTTGCCTCTTTTGGGGGCCGCCACCCAGCTCCCAAATAATCACACAAGGAGAATTAATTCTTACTTATAAATGCCCACCCTTACTTAGCTTGACTTACTTCTAGCCAGCCTTTCTTAAATTATCCCATCGACCTTTTGCCTCTGGGCTTTCAATTTTTTTTTTTTATTTCTATCTTACTTTCAGTCTTATCTGGGGCTGGCTGGGTGACTGACCCTTATTTTCTCGCTCCTTGATCTCTGTCACTTCCCAGATTTCTCCTCCTATTTATTCTTCTTGCCTGCCAGCCCCGCCTATCCTTTCTCCTGCCTCGCTTTTGGCCGTTCAGCTCTATATTAGCCCAGTCAGGGGTTTTAGATAGGCACAGCAACACAGCTTCACAGAGTTAAACAAATGCAACATAAAAGAATGCAACACAGTTGGGCAATGGTGGCGCACGCCTTTTATCCCAGCACTTGGGAGGCAGAGGCAGGTAGATCTCTGTGAGTTCAAGATCAGCCTGTTCTACAAGAGCTAGTTCCAGGACAGGCTCCAAAGATACAGAAAAACCCTGTCTCAAAAAACCACACACACACACACACACACACACACACACACCACAGCACATCTTTGCATCATTAAACAAAAGATCCACAGCATAAACAAATGTAACACATCTTAAATTAATATTCCACAACAAGGAGCTGGAAATGAGAGCAGCCCATGGAGAGGTCCATTGCCTCCTGCAGTAGCTCAAGGGACGGGCTCCATTCCTGCATGGAAGCTCTCTTCCTCCCCAGTCCCTTAGCTATAGCCATTGTGGTGAGACTGGGGGAGAGTGTTAAGAAATACACTTTCTATATTTAACAACAGACACCAGGGAAGAACTGCGGCCAACCCGGGGACGGGGAGACATGCGCACAATAAAAAGGGCTGAAGCACACATTTCCTCCCTCTCCATCTTCCAATTATTTACAACTCGGAGGTCTTTCAAGTGACGGGGGATAATAGAGAGATTCTGACTCTGCAGGACAAAAGATTTGGCTTTGAATCTTACTAGACAGCTATCACAAGACCAATCAAGAGGCCTCTCTCTGAGTTTTGGTTTTCGAGTCAAAACTGGGGTTAATATGATCCAACCCACCTACAAATTACCTAGTACTCAGAACACACAACTTCCTATGGTGCTTACTACAAGTACCCAGGACACAGAAGAGAAGGAGCTAAGTTATTTTTCTTCTCAACTGAGGACATGAGCATTGAAAGGAGGGAGGGGTAGAGAGAGGGAGGGGACTGGAGGGGTTAAACAGCTGATTTTAGACATGCGAACTTAAGCCAGCATTAATCGTGACTATTCCTTGGAACAGCTCAGAAGGTGATGCAATGGCTGGCTCGTATCCTACCAAAGCGACAGGCACTAATTCATTCTCCAAGTATGTCAGGGTGTCCTTCACTCCAGTCCCTAGTCTCTTGGCTGGGAGCGCAGCAATAAAATCAACACAAAAGACAATGAACTCCAGTGGAGCACACATTCTGAGGGAATGAGGCAAGGGGATGATGGGAGTGGGCATGGGTGCTAGAACTGGTCTTTATTTTAAAGAGCAGATCGTATGGCATTGCCCAGGCTGGCCTAAGCTTGTGAGGTCACGTGCTCCTTCAGGAACACAAAGAGCTGGGGCTATAGGTGTGCAACTTGCACCCAAGTCCATTTGCTGTTTTAGAGTAAATGACTAAGATTAAAGACTGAGAAACACCATTAAGCACAATATAGCAAAGTTTGAAGTCTACTATAACTTTCAAAAGGTGATTAATAACACAGTCTCATTCCTCATTGGTTACAACCAAGTTAGTAAACGGCAAAGGCACTGTGTCTGGACGACCAGCCTTTTGCACCTTGTTCAAACAATCGTGTTGGGAGGGCTGTGCTTCCTCACAGGTTCCCGCAGTGGAGAATGTAACGAACAGAATGACTGACATGACAGGAGTCCATCCTCGATGCCCTGAGCACCGTGACAATGAAGTCTCACCACAGATCAGCAGAGGGATGCCACCGTGTTTGGAAGAATGCATAAAAACTGTCTTTCAGTTTCTATTCTGGGGTACTCTGGTGTGCAGAGCAGAGCTACCACACTTGAGACCCCCAGAAGCACTGGAACTTGCAGAAGTTCCACTGGAGAAAAATGCTTCTCACTGATTATTCTGTGCAGTTAAATGATTAACGGTTTCCTCTACTTTTCCCCTTCATGTCAATAAATATGTATGGCATTATATTATAAGGTTAAGAACAACTGGCCAAAGGGCCAAGAATAAACGATGGTTGAGTGCCTGGCCCTCGATGGGACATCTATGTCACTCCCAGGCCTTAGAATCAGAGGGAAGAAGGGAAGAGTCAGAGCATGGTGGGACACGTGCACAAAAAGACACCTGCTGGGTGCAACAGGACCATTGCAGCCATGGCTGTCTGCACCGACCTCTACAAGACTGGATTCATAGACATTTTGTCAGAGATGGGGAGCGGCCCATAAGGGACTACTGGCACGTAATGGTTTCTTCAGTGGTGTAGCCACTGAAAAGTTGCCCATGCTCCAGTAAATAATCGCTGGTTATGCTCATGCAGCAAACCTAATAACCCAGTGGGTCACAGGACACAGGAGATTGTGTGTGTGCTGGGGGGCGGGGTTGTCGGGAGGAGGGAAGGATTCAGGAGAAGAGGGGGTGACAGAGGTAATGAGCACAACTAAACTCCACTGTGCAAATGTACCAAACTGCCAAAGGATAAAAAGTGGAAAAAGAGAAGCACAAAGAATGCCTGAAATGGATAAGCATATTCATATTCATGTTTCATGTAGAATACACGAAGGAATACGTATCGCACCTTAACGTCTCACACAGCGTATCTCATTTCTACTAACTGTGCTCTGTTTGCTTATTTTGTTTTTTGAGACAAGGTCTATAACTCAGAGTGGCCTGTAAACTCCTTATGTAGCCTAGGCTTGCCTTGAACTTACAGCAATCCTCCTGCCTCAGATTCTCAAATGTCACACTACAGATGTAAGCTACCTTTACCAGATAAATGCACATCTTTAATTAAATTTTTTGACTAAAAAAAATTTTAGGTTAGTGAAATAGCAAAGAAAACACAAACATTTACTTCAAATCTTAATCTTTGTATTCTACACAGAAATATGCTATATTTGCCTCTAAAGAAATGAACAAGTATATACTGTAATATATAATAATATATTGTAATACAGAACTTATAGTAATCACAGTATCTGGGACCAGTTAGTGATCTCATGAATTTCCACATGGTACCTATTGGAATAAACTAGGGGAAAAGCAATAGCATCAGTTTCACTAAGCCCAGGTGTGATGGTTCACACCCATAGTCTCAGCACCTGGGGGGCTGAGGTAACAGGATCAGAAGTCCTAGTCATCCCACGCTACGTAGTAAGGCCTGGGTCAGTCTGAGCTACACAGTGAGATTCTGTCTCAAAAAAATTAATTCATAATTGAATTTAATAAAAATTAAGAAAGAATAAGGAAAGAAAACACAAGGGAACTGTCACAAGAATGAACCAAACAGTTTGCTTCCCAAGCAAGAGTCACTGCCAAGTGCAGGGGAGGGCACAGAACCATGACCTGACACTTGAGACAGAGTCAAGCGAAATGCTTACCTGTCTAAAGAACCATACATGAACTTCAGGGTTTGGGCGACATCTTCTATCATGTTCCTTAGCTGGGGAAGAGGAACTCTGCAAAGAAAATATGCAGTTACTCATTCACAACATAATCTGATGATACAGACCCCAAAGGAGCAAGATGTCCTTACATTAACATATTGGTACAATTTAGTCAGCTGTGGGCAGAGCTATGAAACTGCAATTAGAGAATGGTCACCCTAAGGCAGGAAGTCGCTTCGGCTTTTCAGAGCCACTGTTTTACTAGAGAAATTGAACACCTGGGCAAAAAAAAACAAAAAACAAAAAACAAAAAAAATTACAAAAAACCCACTCCCCAAATTCTCCAGTATGAATAAATTCTAGGCATAAGGGGTTGTTTGAAAGAAAATGGCATCAATAGGGAGTGACACTATTAGGAAGTGTGGCTTTGTTGTAGACAGTGTGGCCTTGTTGGAGGAAGTATGCCACTGTGGAGGCGGGCTTTGAGGTCTCATATGCTCAAGCTATGCTTAGTGTGACAGTTTACTTCCTGTTGCCTGGGGATCAAGATGTCGATGTCTCAGCTCCTTCTCCAGCACCATGTCTGCTTGCATGCTGCCTTGCTTCTTACCATGACAATAATGTATTAAACCTCTGAAACTGTCAGCCAGCCCCAATTAAATGTTTTCCTTTATAAAAATTGCCATAGTCATGGCGTCTCTTCACAGTAACAAAAACACTAAGACCGAAGTTGGTACCAGGGACTGCAGTATTGCTGTGATAGGCCTGACCATGTTTTTGAGTTAGCAAGCAGTGGAATACTTTAAGCACTGCTTAATGGACCATACCAGTAGGGGCATGGAAGACAAAGGTGCCCAGGGTGATCTGAACTGTGGGGTCTCACTCAAGAGGTTTCAAGGAGAAGAATTTCAGTATGCTGCCTAAAGATGGTTCTTGTGATATTTTTGGTGAAGAATATGACTGCTTTTTGTCCTTGTCAGAAAAGTCTGCCTCAGGCTAAGGTGAAGAGTTTTGGATTAATTTCATAGGCAGAGGAAATCTCAAAACAATCTAGTATAGACTCTGTTGTAAGGTTGCTAAGGTTGACTCTTATAAAGATTTATAATGAAAAGGAGAAACTGAGCAAGAAAAATACAAAATGTACAATTTGAGGAGGAAAGGGGCACCAGGAGGTGGAACGGAGCTAAACTTTGTATTCAAGAAGATAAACAGATTAAGAAATGAAATAAAGGGAGTGGTGACCTCAGGGGAAGACCCCACCCAGCTATACTTACATCTTGTGAAGAAGAATTAAAGAATATCTTAGGTCCAGGAATGGTGATACATGTCTTTATTTCTAGCACTCTGGAGACAGAGGCAAGCAGAGTTCTAAGTTCAAAGCCAGTCTGGTCTACAGAACAAGTTTCAGGACAATCAAGCTTAGGCAGTAAAAGAAACTATTGAAAACAGAAAGCTCGTGAAGATGTAGCTGAATGAGGGAGCCATGTTCCAGCCCCAGCAGGCAGAACTTGGCAGCTGCGGCCATGTGGTTCTGGCTTTAGAGTCAAGGGTAGAAGAAAGGAGTTATGGAATCTTCCTCCCCCACTAAGGAAAGCCGCTGAGGCCAGGTGTATGAATGGAGACTAGAGAGGCCATTGTGTGAAGCTGTGAGGTGCAGACACAGGATGCTGGAGAAGCCCGAGCTGTGGGATATTGAGGAGGCTCCAGACAGGGAGTGGATCTAGCCCAAGAGAAAGAAGTGTGCGGCAGTCAACAAAGCTGAACAGAGTCGAGATCTGAAGAGCATTCTGACATCAGACATGGAGATGCAGAGTTTGGAGTTTGCCCAGCTGGTCTTGGGTCTTGCTCTGGTCCAGTATTTCCTCATTATGGTCCCTTCCCTGTGTTTTGGAATGGTAATGTATATACCGTGCCAATATATGCTGCAAGTATGTGATCTGCTTTTGGATTTTGATTTTTCCAGGGGGATTACGGTTAAGAGATTGGCAGTTGTCTCGGAAGAGACTTTAGATGTTGAAACCAATTTGAGACCGTTATAGACTATGGGCATTTCTGAAGCTGGACTGAATGCTATCTCTGCGTAGGCTGTTCTGACAGCTCCCCAAAACACAATTATCTACTTCCCCAGTGCAGCACGCTGGGATCATGAAAACAGCACGAGGAGTTTTCTTTTCGATTAAAGTGGCATAATTTAATGAGACAGGCTTTGTTGACCACCATTTTACTTTGTATCACTATTGTTACCATAGTTTCAGAAATTTTGTTTTAAAGGTAAACAATAAAAACTTCAACTCACTCTTCAGCAGGCAGGCCAATTAACAACAACTTGTCAGACTCCTTCAAGAAAGCAACGTGTATTTGTTTCCCATTTAAATGGAGGGATGAGCTAAGAAAAACATAAAATCAAAATGTGGTTAGAGTAACTTTTATGGAGATATAAAAATACCCTTAAAAGGTTACACATGGTATAATTTAAGAACTGAATTGTTTAATAAGAAGTTTCTTGGCACATACCTAACTACCACACAGAAAAGGCAGGGGTTGTGCAGCAACAAAAACATATTTGGAATTATTTCCAAACCCCCAGGACACACAAAAGTAGAATCATCACATGCCTACAACCCTGCCTTCAAGAGGCTGAGGCAGAAGGATTGCTGTGATTTCAAATCCAGCTTAAGTACAAAAGTTCCAGGACATCAGGGCTACACAGTGAGACTCTCCCTGTCTCAAACTGGGGTGTGTGTGAAATGTTTTGTTGACGTTAAGTAGCTACATACAGTTTGGTTTCTTAAAACGACTGCTTCCCTCCTAGCTCACTAATTCCACAGAGACTTTGTGATTGCCCATGTATGGACATGTCTACTTAGGAGATTACAAAGAAAAGAAAACAGTGATTCCGACTAAAAGATGACAACCCAACACTATGAGATGTGGGCGTAGGAGCAAGTGATGGAACCGGAGTCACTGGCACATCTTGCTCAACGGAACTCCAGGACAGGGCATGTGTGCAGTGTGTGATGGATACAGAGGGAACACGTCTGTCAGCTGTGACGTGTGTGCATTGCAAGCATGTGCAGTTTATTCTTAATTACACTTCATGCAGCTGCAAACGATTAGGTAACTTCTGAAAAGTTACAACAACCAACTATGGAAATACAGAGAGCACAAGCGCGCTGCTTTAAATAAGAACTATTAAGACATTTTTTTCAAACTATTATTCTTATCTTAAAGTTTAGAGGTACATATACTTTTAGGCAAATATTAGCCTCTTTTATATCATACTAGCATTATTAATTTTTTTTAAAAAGAATATGCAACAAGACACATATTGTTTGGGAACTCTGAAAATAACATTTCACATTCATTGTTTCCTCAAAAAGGTTTTCCTCGATATCGTTATTTATCTTATCATTACTGACAAGATCTTAGTAGTAGATCTTAGTAGATACTCAGCAAAATGACATCTAACTTACACAGCAGAGAGAAGCAAAGAACAAACCTACATGAAAAACCTTAAATTTAAAATAAAACAAACCCAGAAAACAAGCAAACACAAATTAAAATGTTAGTCTAGGAGCTGGGATGATGGCTTGGTAGTTAAGAACAAGTGCTGCTCCCCTGGAAGACAAGTTTTGTTCCCAGCACTCATGCCAGGGTCACATGGGTGTCTCTAACTCCAGCGTCAAGGAATTAGATGCACCTACATTCATGTACACAAACTACCCCAACTCACACACACAACTAATAACAATTTTTTTAAAAAAAACAAATGAAAATTCACCTTATGATTCTATTCATTTGAAATGTCTCCAGCAGGGATCTCTACAGACAAGGATAGCAGGCCAATGGGTGCCTGAGCCTTGAGCTGTGCACAGGCTCACAGTTGAGGGGCACAGAGTTCCCTTTTAAGGTGATAAAAATGTTCTGACATTGACCATGGCCAATGTATGAATACGCTTGAATATTTACTTGAGTACTTTTTTAAAAAGAGAGTGATTTGCTTGTATTATATATATATGGCTGCTTTGCCCCATATATATCTGCACCATGCATATGCCCGGTACCCACAGAAGCCATAAAAGAGTGCTAGATTCCCCTGAAACTGAAATTGCAGATACTCTGGGATACCAAAGCGCTGAGAACCAAACCCAGGTCCTCTGGAAGAGCAGCCAGTGCTCTTAACCTCTGAGTCATCATCTCTCCAGCCCCTACTTGTACACTTTTAAGAATGGGTAAATTGTATGATTTATGGACTATAGTTAAGCAAAGCTGTTAAAACAAATTAAAAGAGAGGCTGGGGCCATAGCTCAGTGGTATACAGCACTTAACGGACAGGCATGAGTTCCTTGTTTGGATCCCTGCAATGAATAAATGAATGAATGAATGAATGAATGAAGAATAAATAGAAATCCGACAAGCTGATTTTATAAATATAAACTTATGTATGAAATAAAGTCTCAAGCACCGCAGTCTTCAAATATATAATCAATATATCTGTATACTAAAAAGTCAAAGATTTATACCTAGCTTTTATTTAGGAAAACAAGTAAATTCTCCCCATTATTTTACATACTCCATATCTCCTAATATTTTGAGGTATAATTTTTACCAGGAGATGGAAAAAAGTTACAATCTGGGATATCTAACCTCATGTTTTATCAGTAATATGGGAGCTGTTAAAACTTGAACTAACCATTTTTCATGAATTTTAGATTACAGAAATACTAAAGTAGAAAAATAGCAATAATTTATTTTATGACAAACCAAACTGAAAAGCTCTGAGCCCTTCATCCCCTAACTTAACCATGGCATCAAAGTTAGGCCTGGCAAATACTGTGGCTGAGGAGTTCCCCTCCCCGCCCCTCTCTCCGTCCTTCCCTCTCCCCCCTCTCTTTCCCTTGGTGCTACAGGTGGACCCAAGGCCATGTGCGGGGTGCTAACCACTGCAGGACAATCCAGTTCTGATTTCTGCCCTTTCATCACTAAATAAACTTCACATGACACCTGGTTCTGAATCATCCTCCTAAAGAACAGTCTATATTTCTCCATCGTTAATGTAAAACCAGAGCATTTTCTAACCATGTGAAAAATTTAGCATCTTCCTTAGTGAGTTGACAACCACAATAAAAACATAAGGAAGTCAAGAGTCAAGATACATAATAATGTCATGTTTAAAAGATAACACTGTCTTTTAAAGTAATTGTGTGTGTGTGTGTGTGTTGTACACATGTGTGCATGTGGCAAGTGTACCACAGCTTGAGTGTGGAGGAGGTTGGGGGACAACTTGTAGGAGTCTATTCTCTCAATCCCCCATCTGGTCCCAGGAATTGAACTCAGGTTGACAGGGTTGATAGGCTCACAGCAAGCGCCTTTACCCATGAGCCATTTTGCCAACTCAAAGACGACATTTCCATGAAGAATTGTAACCATGGGTGAACAGCCAAGTCTGTTAATTAAATGATTCTGACAAATCCCTGACTTACTGCTGAATTAAAAACATACACTCCAGATAAAAGAAATGTTTAGCTGAAACAGCTGCACCGCTGTCCTCCCCACAGTGGACTCTGCCACAGACAGGAATCCCTTTATCATAGATTCCAAAGATGAGAACTTGAAGAAAGAATGAAACATTGTTACCTAGTAACTGGCGTCCCAGTCACACTTTCCAGCATGTCACAGAGGGTGAGAAAAATCCCTCTCACACTCTTGAGTTTCTGAGAGGCTTCAGACACTGGGTAATGGTACAGAATTTCATGCTGTTAGGGCAAGAACAGATGATGAGCTCTCAGATACTCCAACCAACATTAGTCCTGAAAGTTCAGACATTGTACAAAGAACAGAATGGGGATCCTTTCAGCTACAGTTGGAGTCTTATTCAGACCCCAGGGCAGAACTATGCCTGGAGTGTTAACACTTCAACAAGCAATTCAAATGCTACACTTGAAAGTGAGTTTAGTGACTTCATTACTTAGGAGACCAAGCTACACAATTACAATTACTATTGATTTCAAATAGTGTTTTAAACTTTAAACCCCATGCGTTACTCCTAGGAATCTTTTAATTTCTTTCATGCTGAATCTTAAAAGATAATCATTATTTTTAGTGATATTACTAAATATTTACTTAACTATATTTACAAAGTGAGAATGCAAAACTGAAGAAGTACAAAGAGGAAGAAAAAAAGTATCACAAGATTATAAAATATCTAACTTAAATATGGGAGAGCTTAAACAGCATAAGTCTATATGAAAGGGTACGTTTTATTGCAAATTGTGGAAAATGCTAATTTACACGATAGTTTAGAAAATGGCTACTATTTTTCTGTTTTCAATGAGAACCTGTTTCTAAGAAACAGAGAGCTTTAACAAAAGTAAAAATAATGAGTCTCTAAGTAGGACCTGCAGTGTGCTGACTTCCTAAAACATCAGGGACCTGTAGTGTGCTGACTTCCTAAAACATCAGGGACCTGTAGTGTGCTGACCTCCTAAAACATCGGGGACCTGCAGTGTGCTGACCTCCTAAAACATCAGGGACCTGTAGTGTGCTGACCTCCTAAAACATCGGGGATCTGTAGTGTGCTGACCTCCTAAAACATCAGGAACCTGTAGTGTGCTGACCTCCTAAAACATCAGGGACCTGCAGTGTGCAGACCTCCTAAAACATCAGGGACCTGTAGTGTGCTGACCTTCTAAAACATCGGGGACCTGCAGTGTGCAGACCTCCTAAAACATCAGGAACCTGTAGTGTGCTGACCTCCTAAAACATCAGGGACCTGTAGTGTGCTGACCTCCTAAAACATCGGGGACCTGCAGTGTGCAGACCTCCTAAAACATCGGGGATCTGCAGTGTGCTGATCTCCAAAAACATCGGGGACCTGCAGTGTGCTGACCTCCTAAAACATCAGGGACCTGCAGTGTGCAGACCTCCTAAAACATCAGGGACCTGCAGTGTGCAGACCTCCTAAAACATCAGGCAGCTTGAGCCACACTTTCTGCTAACATTTAGGCAACATCTAGTTTTCTCACATGACAAATTAAAAGCAGACAAAATTAAAACTTCTAGATAGAAATCATGAAGAATTCAGAGTAACTTCCAATTAATCTAACGGCTATAATTGCTACCACACAAAGTCCTAACTCCCCAAATCCTCAAATACACTGGCCAAGCTTTTCCTTGATTCTGCATCTAAAGACTGCTAAACATCTCTGTGAGAATAGTTATGTGGCACAGTGTCTGTGTATTTACAATTTTCACATTATCACAGATACGATGATGAGACACTGTGCAACCTACTTTGCATACTTACTAAGACCATCTTATATATGTAAATTATTCAATATATGCTATGGGATATGTTTGCCAAATACACTGCATTATGATTCAAATTTATTGCAATTTTCACTGTGAAAACAGCTAAATAGTATTTTATTATTTATCTTTAGAAATTAAGTCAAACATGAACTAAAATCTGTGATGCTGACTTAATAAATTTAAACCTTGCCCAAAAAATACTTCCATTCTGTTTTGTCAAAATACCAAAGGCTGTTTTAAACAGTCTTTGATTAGTGTTTTAGACGTCTCCATCTTGTGATCCTTGCACTCCAAATCTTGCAACTGGAAGACAAGCTCTGTATCAATTATGTAACGCTCAGAGAAAGAAACGACCCCCTGACATTTCATTGTACAGTAACATAGTAGAGAAAAAAAGAGGCCATTTAAGGAAGTCGCCATAGGACTCTGAAAAGCCTTGGTATTGAGGGGCTGGCGAGCTCTGCAGCGCCCAGCCAATTTAATTAGCTGCATTTTTAAAGCCCTCGTTAGTAGCTCGCACTTACAGAAGCTTCCACTCTGCGTGGTAAAAATAAAGAGCCTCTCCTAATTACGATATTGCTACAGAACTGGCCACAGACAGCAACCTATTTATTTGCGAGGCATTCCCACACTTTCCAGAGAAAGTCAGGCACGATGACATGTGGGCTGGAAAGGTTCAGGACAGTACCCCCCAAACTTGGGAGGATTCAAAATTAAATGCTTAAATGACTCATTCATTCTAAAGATACGAAGAGCCAGCAAGATGGAAGAAATTAGAATTATTAACACGGGAGGTCTATATATTTTTCAGAACATAACAATGCCAAGTAGTACATATACAATTAATTTCATCTTTACCATTTCAATTGTTATTAAACAGACAGAAAACAACACAAGAACATGCGTATTTCATATGACAAACTGCAAAAGGAAGCTTTGGGGGTTTCATTCCCCATCGCTGAGAGGAGCTGAAAAGCGCATGCCCTCTTCTCTTAGAGGCTTGAAACCCCTGGTGGCATAGAGTACATACACCAGCAGAACATGCACTCGTGATAAGAAGCAGCTAACCCCTTCCAGTTCCTTCCCCAAGTTTGCATAAGCTGGACTGACTGATGGTCCCCTCCTCCTGCAGCAGAGGGAGCAGACACTCACCTCCTCCTTGGAGACCTCTGATTGGAGCTGCAGCGAGAGGTACATGGTGATGTGGGGGGCTCCCAGAGTACTGTGCTGGGTGCCTTCGGCCTCCGACCCGCACAGAAGTTTCACCAAATCGTTCGTGCTCGACTGTGGCTTTTTCTTTTTTGGTTGGGTTGTTTCCTTTTTCACTGCATAGGCATTTTCAAATGTCAGCTTCACCTGAAAAACATAAAACAAAATGTTTGATGTTTCAACAAGGCAAATATCAGGTGCATTTTTTTTTTAAACAAAGAAAGCCATGTGCTGACATATATAGTCAGGAATGCACATGAGGAGATGGTACCTCAGAGTAAGAGCTAATGGTGAGGACAGGGAATTCACTTGTATCTGTACCTAACTCCTTTCACAGTGATGGGCGCGCGCGCGTGCGCGCGCGCACACACACACACACACACACACACACACTACAAATGTTTATTGAGTGAAAAGTACAATGCTCCCTATGAAAATTCATTCACACAAATGCAGTCACTGACTGCACAGAGACAACCATAGAAGAGTGGAAATCATATCGTTTGAGTACAGAAGAGTCACTGCACGTCTTTGCTGCAAATAGCACTGACTCACAGAGAAAATGAAGATGGAGAGGCTGGGGCCAAGGGTAACCTTACACACTGGGAGGGAGTTGCCTTTCCTTCCAAATGGGGCAGGTTTCAAATATTCTCCTCTCAGATGGTCTTTGTAGCCCTTTAAAGAGGGGCTAAAGAGAGCACCGGCAAACAAACAACCGCTGGCATTCGGGAGCTGCACCACCAGGAGGATTATCTGTCAGTTTATCAGGAGAGTTTTAATTTCACAGCCTGATGTCAAGACTGGTATATACAGGAAGCTCCAGGCCAGCCATGACTGTACAGTGATACTCTGCCTCTAATTAATTAACTAATTAATTAATGCTTTTTAAAAAATTATTTATTAAAGATTTCTGCCTCCTCCCCGCCACGGCCTCCCATTTCCCTCCCCCTCCCCCAAACAAGTCCCCCTCCCTCATCAGCCCAAAGAGCAATCAGGGTTCCCTGCCCTGTGGGAAGTCCAAGGACCACCCACCTCCTTCCAGGTCTAGTAAGGTGAGCATCCAAACTGCCTAGGCTCCCACAAAGCCAGTACGTGCAGTAGGATCAAAAACCCATTGCCATTGTTCTTGAGTTCTCAGCAGTCCTCATTGTCTGCTATGTTCAGCGAGTCCGGTTTTATCCCATGCTTTTTCAGACCCAGGCCAGCTGGCCTTGGTGAGTTCCCAATAGAACATCCCCATTGTCTCAGTGTGTGGGTGGACCCCTCGTGGTCCTGAGTTCCTTGCTCGTGCTCTCTCTTCTTCTGCTCCTGATTTGGACCTTGAGATTTCTGTCCAGTGCTCCAATGTGGGTCTCTGTCTCTGTCTCCTTTCCTCGCCTGATGAAGGTTAATATTCAGGAGGATGCCTATATGTTTTTCTTTGGGTTCTCCTTCTTATTTAGCTTTTCTAGGATCACTAATTATAGGCTCAATGTCCTTTATTTATGGCTAGAAACCAAATATGAGTGAGAACATCCCATGCTCCTCTTTTTGGGTCTGGCTTACCTCACTCAGGATAGTGTTTTCTATTTCTGTCCATTGGTATGCAAAATTCAAGAAGTCATTGTTTTTTACTGCTGAGTAGTACTCTAATACGTATATATTCTATACTTTCTTCATCCATTCTTCCATTGAAGGGCATCTAGGTTGTTTCCAGGTTCTGGCTATTACAAACAATGCTGCTACGAACATAGTTGAGCAAATACTTTTGTTGTATGATAGGGCATCTCTTGGGTATATTCTCAAGAGTGGTATTGCTGGGTCCAGGGGTAGGTTGATCCCGAATTTCCTGAGAAACCGCCATACTGCTTTCCAAAGTGGTTGCACAAGTTTGCATTCCCACCAGCAATGGATGAGTGTACCCCTTTCTCCACAACCTCTCCAGCAAAGGCTATCATTGGTGTTTTTGATTTTAGCCATTCTGACCGGTGTAAGATGGTATCTTAAAGTTGTCTTGATTTGCATTTCCCTGATTGCTAAGGAAGTTGAGCATGATCTTAAGTGTCTTTTGGCCGTTTGAACTTCTTCTGTTGAGAATTCTCTGTTCAGCTCAGTGCCCCATTTTATAATTGGGTTGATTAGCCTTTTACGGTCTAGTTTCTTGAGTTCTTTATATATTTTGGAGATCAGACCTTTGTCAGTTGTGGGGTTGGTGAAGATCTTCTCCCAGTCAGTAGGTTGCCTTTTTGTCTTAGTGACAGTGTCTTTTGCTTTGCAGAAGCTTCTCAGTCTCAGGAGGTCCCATTTATTCAATGATGCCCTTAGTATCTGTGCTGCTGGGGTAATTAATTAATGCTTATTCAAGAATAAAGAAGACTACCCAATGACTGAAAACATTGTATTAAGGCAGCAAGTTATATTTAAGGAAAGTACTTAAAGACTAAAAACGATACTAAATAATTCCTATTTTAATAATTTATTATAAGAGGTACAATTCTAAAGATGTAATAAGTACTAATACATTATGATTTTTAAAAACAAATATTATATACTTTTGTATATATAATATATACACACATACATATATATTCATACATATGTATGTATGTGTATATATATTACCTACCTACTCAACTGTTATATATATTATAAAACAAAACATGTTGAAAAAAGTCTTCTAAAAGAGAAAAAAAATGTATCAGGTATTTTTTCTTGTTGGCAAGGAGTGTTTGGGGTCATATTCACTTTTGCTTATCTGGAGCTGGTAGCAGCTTTTACTGATGTGAATTAAGTTAGACACACATCTTTCCTAAATCTCAGGATTTACTGTGTAAGCAAGTTCCTATTGATTTGAAAGTGTCTCTCAGGAATTCACAGGGTAAAGGCTAATGGGAGACTGAAAGGTCTCCATGTAAGAGGGGGCATGCCCTAGGGGGAACTGTGGGAGCCTGGCCCCTCTTCCTCTTTCTCTCTTTTATTTATTGGTTTTGGGGTGCACATTTCTGCCTCACCAGCTCCCCAACATTTCCATGTGGCACTCCACTAAAGGCTTCAGGATAAAGGGCTCATCTCATCATGGCCAGTCTTCACTGTCACCTTGACTAGATTTAGAATCACCTAGGAGACACACACGGGCCATGTCTGTGAAGTTGTTTCCAGAGTTTACTGAGGGGAGGACTTACCCTAAATGTGGGCAGCACCATCCCACGGGATGATGTCCCAGACTGAATAAAAGGGAAAAAATGAAAAACAGATGAGCATCCATGTTCATCTTTCTACTTTGTGTTCTGCCCAGACAGGAAGAGTTTCCTTCAGACACTCCAGCAGCCATGACCTCTGCCACGTGTTTCCCCTCTATGACGGACTTCTCTGTACCAAGATTTTTCTTTTGGGCCACCAACTAGCTCCCAAATCATCACCTGGAGAGGTCTTATTAGTTATCAGTGCTTGGCCTTATCTTAGCTCTTATTTTAATCTGTTTCTCCTTATCTGTGTTTTGCCTCGGGGTTTTTTATCTTCCTTTCTGTATCTGTGTCTGCAGCAGGCAGCGGCCTGGCTGGCCCAGACCTCTCCCTTTCTCTCTCTTTCTCGCTCTTTCCTCTCTTTTTCCTCTCATTCTTTCTTCTTCCTATATTTCTCCTTCTACTTATTCTCTCTGCCTAAAAACTCCACCTATCTCTCTACTGCCTAGCTACTGGCCATTCAACTTTTCATCAGACCAATCAGGTGCCTTAGGCAGGCAAAGTGAAACAAATGCAACACATCTTTACACAATTAAACAAACACGGCACAAATAAATGTAACACATCTTTACATCATTACCAAAGTGTAGTAATATGGGGCGGCAGGGCTGCGTCCCCCACACCCGGCCGCCCAGAAAGCCGGCATTTTTAAATGGCGCAGCTTTTTTCCTGCTACGGCTGAAAACCGAAAAGCATGTGTTCAGCTTTTCGTCAACACCGTTTAAGTGTTTCGTGGCAGGACCTCTTAATGAGCTGCAGGCTTTGCAGCTAAAGCTGAGTCAGGAAGCCTCTCTTAGATGAAAGCGCATGCTTGCCTCTAGCAAGCAGAGCAGACCCGAGAACACAGCGAGTCTAGTTGCCATCAAACAAATCATAGCACTTTACTCCAAATGCTCTATTCAAAAGCTCTGTCTCCCGCAGGAGCCAGACAGAGATGGCAATGGCTGCACAGCCCCAGGAAGTCGCGCTTTAAAATGATACAGCGTTTTTTCTGCTACTGTTGCCGAATCAGGAAATCTCTCTATAGCACGCCACCAACAAACAGCAAAAATCTGTGTTAAACTCTCTCTCCTTTATTTTTAAGCCTTCTCAGGTTTTTTAAATGGGTTTTAGTTGTCCACACGTCTGGGCGCCAACTGTAGTAATATGGGGCAGCAGGGCTGCGTCCCCCACACCCGGCCGCCCTTATGCTCCGAAATAACAACACACAAACTGTATTCTTTTAATCACTGCTTGGCCCTTTAGCCCTAGCCATTACTGGCTAATCCTGTTATCCCGATCAACCCATCTCTAATAATCTGTGAGAACCGGTCTTACCGGGAAGATTCTAGCCTAGTCCATCCTGGGTCGGAGCTTCATAGCGTGCGTCTGCCCAGGAGCCAGGAGCACGGCGTCTCTGCTGAGGCGTCTGCTCCGGAGAGCAGAGCTGTGGAGTCTCTGACCTCACTTCCTCTTCCTCCCAGCATTTTGTTCTGTTTACTCCACCCACAGGGCCAAGCAGTTTCTTTATTGGCCAATGACCTTCCTCCATCACCAAAGGCAGCAGAAACAAAAGTAACACACCTTCACACAGTTAAAGTCATATTCCAAAGAATAAGCAAATGTAACACATCTTTGCCTAGTTAAAATGATATTCTACATTTCCCCCTCCCAAACCAAGAGCCAACATAAACTTCCCCTCCCCTATGTAGTATTGTGTCAGGTATTTGGTACCAACTATGAGATAAGTAACAAACAGACCTGATCACAAGCTAGACCCTCTAAAACTACAAGCCAGAATAAAGCTTTTCTTCCTAAGTCAGCTAATTCAGGTACTTATTACAGTGACAGATGCTAACCTACATGTAGCAAAGAAAGGGGTTAAAATCATCTAGGTGTGCACATTGCTAGTAAAAATGAAGTGGGCCAAGACTAACAGGAAATTACTTAGACAGCGGCAAGGGGAAAATCTCAAAGCAGAAAGCACAGTGTCTGCAGAATTTTTTAAATGTATTTTCTGTAAACACAATATGGGTGAAAATTAACACAATTAAAGAAAGAGTCGAGAGAATATGGCTTTAGGAATTATCATCTTAGATGTGAAAATGAATATTTGGGGCCTGTGAGATGGCTCTGGGGTAAGGGCACTTGCTTCCATGATGAATAACCTGAGTTTGATCCGGAACCACATGACAGCAGGAGAGTCAACCCCTGAGAGCTGTCCTCTAACCTCGTCCCCAGAAGTGTGTCTAATAAATAAATGTTACAAAAATAAAACTTAGTGTGAGGTTTCCACACAAACAGGCTACACGGAAGATGGTAGTTATTCTGGGGAGGGGTACCAGAGGATTCACAGAAAGGGACCTCAGAGAAAGAGCCATGGCTCATACCAGGAGAGCATCTTCTGCAGTGGAGGTTCTCGTGGTTGGGAAGTTTAAAGACTGGGCGTGACTCACCAAAAAATGACAATGGGAAATGAATTGATGAACTGAACTAATTAGACTGTGAGAAGCAGCAGTGACCTCAAATTTGATACTACTTTGCTATGCTTGTGGCCAATGACATGTGTGCTTTAAAACTAACTTTAATATTGTATTTTGCAAATGCCATGACCTGTTTTCTTTCTTTCTTTCCTTCCTTCTTTCCTTTTTTTTTGTTTTTGGTTTGTTTCGAGACAGGGTTTCTCTGTGTAGCTTTTGGAGCCTATCCTGGAACTCGCTCTGCAGACCAGGCTGGCCTCAAATTCACAGAGATCTGCCTGCCTCTGCCACCCGAGTGCTGGGATTAAAGGCGTGCACCACCACCACCCAGCCTCCATTACCTATTTTCTAGTGCAAGCACCTTTTCACCTTGGCACGAAACAAATTCGAACAAAAACACACTCCATGGGACTGTTCATTAATGTCCTCCAATGGACAGTGCTAGCACCATTTTGATTTAAGAAAAGTTGGTTCCATCATAAGGTTCCGAAGGACGTTTCTGAAGTCCTATATGATAAGCAACCATAAGTGCTGAGTTCAGTTGCCTTGACAACATGATAAGGTGTAACACATAACTAAAGAGATAAGCACTAATTTTTAAAAAGATTGATAGACATAGGTATTAAGGGCACTACATGATTATAGGGATAAACTTTTATTGAGCAATATCTAATAAGTCTCGTTCCTGTTGTTCTTCCAGACTTTAACAAGCAACCAACGTCAGGATCCCACACTTCCTGCCTCCTCACTTGTGCAATTTGCCCAATCTTTTCCCATCCCTTCCAGGCTCAGTGATGATGCCCTGGTTCCCTCGGGTCCAGGGATGTGATTTCTATAACCCATCACCTCCAAAGTCTTGCGGCCTTGGTTATCTCCTCCCTATTTCTGTCTTCAACCCACGCTACCTAAGAAGCAATTTTTATCCCTATCAAACCCCCTCTTCCCACTTTAGTTAGAATCCTCTCCGCAGGGGTGTACTGTGGGGTGGTGAGGACCCAATGCCACAGCAGGGCTGGCCTGACTTGCACCTACCTGTGAATCAACACAGCTTTTCTCATAGCTTCCTGCTCTCTGCTGCCTTATCCTTTCTCTTTCAGCTGGCAGGAGGCAGGTGCTTTCAAAACACCTCATGAATAAGGCTCAAGAAATTAGTCTAATTGGCTCAGCAAATTCTCTCTCCTCCAGACTCTTCTCCTTTTGAGCAATCTCACTGTAAAGCTTGGGATGCTCCTTGGTCTCTAATTCTGAAATACTGTAAAATTCCAGACTTTCTGAGCATCCCTGTGGGGCTTTACATGTTTCAGATTTTTGAGTATTCAGGGCTTCAGGTTGTTCTGCATAAGAAGGGTCCCAATTTGAATCTCAATCTCTCTCTCTCTCTCTCTCTCTCTCTCTCTGTCTGTCTGTCTGTCTCTCTTCCTCCTTTCCCCTCCCTCCCTCTCTTCCCTGCCCAGCACTCACCCACTCACTTCTGGTAGCAAGCATTTTGGATAAGGGATACTCAGCCACTACTACTATCTAATAAATTACAAGCCCAGATTTCCCTAGTCATCCACCATAGCCCTTCCTCCTTCAATCCGGGAGCATTCAAGGACTGCCTGCTGCATCCGATGCAGTCTGTGGTGGGTTAGATGGAACTGACCCCCATAAGCTCACAGGGAGCAACATTATTTGGAGGTGTGGCCTTGTTGGAGTAGTTGTGTTCTTGTTGGAGGAAGTATGCCACTGTGGAGGTGGGTTTGAGGTCTCACATGCTCAAGTCACACCCAGGGTCTCAGGTCCATTTCCTGTTGCCTGCCAATCAAGAAGTAGGACTCCAGCACCAAGGCTGCCTGCATGCCATTATGTCCCACCATGATGCTAATGGACTAAATCTCTGAGACTGTAAGCAGCCATCCCATTAAATGTTGCTGTGGTCGTGGTGTCTCTTCACAGCAATAGAAACCCTAACTAATTCACAGTCACACACATTTCAGTCTGTTTTAATGTGTAGGAGTTTTCCAGCCATTTTTTTCAGGATGAGTGTGCGTGTGTGTGTGTATGTGTGCTCGGCTTTGTAAGCCAGGGCCTTACACATGCTAAGCACACACTCCACCATTATTCCACAGCCCAACACCATCATGCTATTAACACTTTTTTTTTGGGGGGGGGGGTTCGAGACAGGGTTTCTCTGTAGCTTTGGAGCCTGTCCTGGAACTAGCTCTTGTAGACCAGGCTGGCCTCGAACTCACAGAGATCCGCCTGCCTCTGCCTCCTGAGTGCTGGGATTAAAGGCGTGCGCCACCACCGCCCAGCTCTATTAACACTTTTGAAGCATCTAGAAAGACAAAAAACAAAACCACAAAGCTAGTTGTGGAATGTTAAAGTGGGCTTTGCCTCTGCATTTTATGTCAGCACCCACCAGTGGAGCTGGACTGGATTTGAAGACTTCCCTTTAGATGCCCTCTGATTACAGGCTAACCCAAAGCATATTCCTGAATATTTAGGAAAGCTGATCTGGAATCTCTGTGAGGTGTTACACGGAGGTCTTTCTTCCTGTTACACTGTCTCGAAGGCCACTGTCTGATCGAGAACAAGAAGCGATAGACCTCGCTATGCTCTGAGTGTATTTTTATGATGTCACTGCTCAGCATGCCCAGGATTAAAGTCTCTAGTGGAAGTCCTTATAAACCTGCGCTCTCTCTTCCTCTCATTGCTGGAGGGGCTGTTTCGCACATGCCACGCCTTGGACAGGTCTACCTCAGTTGGGTCTCGCCCACCAAGACACCAGAAGCACACAGGTTGAAAGGAGACGGAAGGAATATGCTTTGGGTTAGCCTGCAGTCCGGTACTTTGAGTAACTGATTCTGCAGCTTTGGGGGAATCACGAAGCAGTTCCTCTCTCTTTCATAGGATCTCATCATCCAGTCTAGTCTGGCTCACAATCCTCCTGCCTCAGCCCCCTGGGTGCTCCAGAATCCTTTTCATTATGTATAAACCAGGACCACCAACCACTGGACTCCTGCAGATCTATGGTAAGGCCCTAACATGTCAGAAGATCTATATGAAGAAGAGGAGGTGCACTCAGGGAACACAACACCATAGAAGAGTTGGCAACAAGTCTGCAAGAGCTAAGGGTCCACGAGCAAGCATCTTCCGGACATGAAGCTGCCCGTGTAAGCTCACAGCAGCGTGGCTGCCTGTAGGAGACCTGCAGGGGAGCAAGCCAGTTTGTAGGACAGCATGGACGGGGGAGGGCTCACAAGGCTCCAGTCCTCCCTAAGGAGTTATTGGCAGTGGATGGCCACTGAGGCAGAGAGATCATCTTTCTTCATTGATTTGTCTCACGGTAGTTGATCGTGTTCCACACTCACGCATACACACTCAGCTCTAATTTGACCGGGGCAGGAGGATGAAGGGGGATGAAGTCAAGAAAGGGATACACTGGGTGGGGACTTCAGGAAGATTGGAAGGAGAGGAGATGGACATTGGACAGGACAAAAAACATACTGTATTTATCCATGGAATTAGTAAAGAATGAAATTGTTTAGCTAAGCGATTTTTGAAAGAAGTAGCGTGTTCTGTGACATCTACGCCTGATGGTAGCTCAGGAGCCTGGAGCTGATGTTAGGAAGTTCTGAGAAAAGGGCTAGAAAACCAGATGCCTGACAGAAATGCAATATGCATTTTACCTATGCTCTGAAGCCATGATCCTGAATTTAAAGGTGACAGAAAATTAATCTAACAGGAAATCTCAAGGCCCCATGACATTCAGACGGTGGCATTGTGCTATTTGAAGATTTTAGCCAGATTAACAGTGAGAATCAGGAGCAGGAAACAGGACAGAAACATTTGAAAGACTTATATTTTAGCCAGAGATGGAGTATATTTAAAGTTGGTGCCAGTAGATATGTAAAGACCGGCACTGTTAAAAAGAGGCCCAGGACTCTGCACTGGGTCGGTAGGAAAGATATTCAGAGTGCAGCCAGTAATTTACCAGGACTCCCTTCATCTCCAAAGCTAAGTATTAGCAAGAGGCGAAGCTGCCCTCAGTGCTCAGGCTTCAGTGTCACTCACCGCGACACGGGAGATAATCTCAGCATCTTAGAAAGAAACCAGCACAGAACGGATGTACTTTAGGAAACACCATACACAATATGGAAGGGGATGGCCACACCTGCATTGGTCCAGGGATGCAAGACAGAACTCTCTCTATGTTTTCAGAAGTCACATCTACATCATTCACGGCAACAAGGACATCACCTAAAAAGAGAAAAACAGAAGACAACCGGATGAATATCCCAAACTGAAAAGTCCTGGACTCGCAACACAAGGAAACAGCTGTCTGGATTACCGCAAGGGCCTAATGGAAAATGTGGTACATGCAGGGACTCATCCGAGGTTACTCCGAACATCAGTGACACAGCCAATCACCCAGCTTGGCCATTATGCTTCCCAACAGTGTACCATACCTCTGCCAACCATGAATATTTGAAGATATGGATATTCCCAGTCTCAGTGTAACTAAGGGGTACGTGAACCCAAAGGACCAATGGAAAATTTTTAGCATAAACCAAGTATTGCACTTAACAAAATTGAATCTAACCACTCAGACCAATAGTAATAAAAAAAAATCCAGCTGACATTTTAATTAAATCCATGTGGTACATGGCAATGCGCTGTGCTATTGCTGCTACCACTGACTGGTGTCTGCAGGACAGGCCTTTGTTCCGCTGCTTCCAACGATACTGACATGATAAGCATGTTTCGGGCAAAATCTTTACCATGGCTGCTCTTCAGATGCTTGTATTTATCTAATTTCAAAATCGAGACCACTACTAAAATCAAATTGATACACAACACAGCTCTTGCCCAAAGAGAGTAAGAGTCCATTTCTTCTGGGGTTAAACCTGAGTGATCCTGGCCCAGGAACTCAGATTCAGGGTGCCCCAAACGTGTTCTGCTGCGGCAGTGGTTACATGAGCCAGAATAAAATTCAGCTGTCAATCAGTGCCGGGGCAGCTACCAGATTTACTGTGGGGTCCCAGGTAGGTGGGCTGGCATACCTTCGGGGGTCTATGAGCATCACATGCTTTCTGGAGTCAGAACTTGGGGGCTGGTGGAGGCTTCTGCTTCGCTAAGAATACATTGCAAAAGCTCTAGCTGACAGTCAAAGGCTGCACATGGAACACGATGTGAGCCTAAAAGACAGATACGTCTGGGCAGTGACTAGGGCAACGGCAGTCCAAGATAGCCTGGGTCTGCGTCTTCAGCACCCCAAATCTCCTCATTTGCGAAATTCTAACCAGGCACTCAGCCTTGCAGAGTCTTCAGACAAAGGTGTAGCTTTTTATCTGGGATCTTCAGCTTACAAGAACATAATTGAAAGTAATATCAAAGCCCTAGCAAGCTGTGTTAACAAAACCACAACACACCTAGGGGACCGTCTTGTCATTCCAGACTATACACATCAAGTCTTGTCCTTAAACCACTGCAGAAGAGAATCAAGAAAAGATGTTGTGAAAGACCAACTCTCTCCTTTCAGGAAGCTTTATACTCTTTGAGGAGGGGAGTGAGCATGCAAGTGGGCTAAGAAACCCAACAGCTTCTGAACGTCTTCTTTTCAGGAGTATTTGTACAGTGCACAGCTTGCATGTCAGAGAATATCTCTCTCTCTTGAGCGGAGGTCAAGTCTGCTTTCTGTACAATGTGACAAGGACACACACTGACTCTAAATGGAAAAAAATTGTCAAGAATAACACTGTGGTAGCTGAGAAGATGGTCACATAAAACTGTGGCCTCCTCGTCCACAACTTTACTCCTCAGGGACTAGACAAGTACTGCAGAAATGTTTGGAATGGCTGCTGGCCTTATCGCTGCAGCTATGACAATGTTTGAACACCGAGTCGTCTTCATTCTGTTCACCAAAATGAAGGATGAAATATTTTTATTCTTTTAAGCCCCTCAAGTGCAAAAACTTTTTTTTATTTTTTTTTAGTGTTTTCTTTTTTTTTAAATTTATTTATTTATTAAAGATTTCTGTCTCTTCCCCGCCACCGCCTCCCATTTCCCTTCCCCTCCCCCCTAATTAAGTCCCCCCCCCCCTCAGCCCGAAAAGCAATCAGGGTTCCCTGTCCTGTGGGAAGTCCAAGGAACCCCCCACCTCCATTCAGGTCTAGTAAGTTGAGCATCCAAACTGCCTAGGCTCCCACAAAGCCAGTACGTGCAGTAGGATCAGAAACCCATTGCCATTGTTCTTGAGTTCTCAGTAGTCCTCATTGTCCGCTATGTTCAGAGAGTCCGGTTTTATCCCAGGCTTTTCCAGACCCAGGCCAGCTGGTCTTGGTGAGTTCCCAGTAGAACATCCCCATTGTCTCAGTGTGTGGGTGCACCCCTCACGGTCCTGAGTTCCTTGCTCGTGCTCTCTCTCCTTCTGCTCCTGATTTGGACCTTGAGAATTCAGTCCTGTGCTCCAGTGTGGGTCTCTGTCTCTGTCTCCTTTCATCGCTTAGCAAAAACTTTTGTGCTAGTACATAGTTTATAGAATTGCAATTTTATTGGCCAAATGACGTAACATATAACCTAAACGTCCATACACTTGTTTGACACTTTTCTGCTTTCAATTATGAAAACACTAATTTTTAAGTGCTTCAATAGACCTTTTTGTGCCCAGTTTTTCTTCCTTCCTATGTGTATGTGATATATGCACACACATATGTGTGTCTGTATACCCATGTGAGCAAAAGGACAGAGGGGGAAATCAGATGTCCAGTTCTGTCGCTCTCTGCTGTATTCGCTTGTGACAGTCTCTCACTGAACCTGGAGCCAGGCAGGCAGCCAGCAAGCCCCAGATATTTTCCTGTCCCCCACACCAATGGGGTTATGGGCAAATGGGAGCAACACTCGATTTTTGTTTCTTTAATCCTGATGCTTGAACTCAGGTCCTCATGTATCTAGCTCCCTTTTTTTTTTTTTCCTATTTTGATCTAGGCTTAACAAACTTCTTCTATTATTCATGCTTTGGTGGTAATGGTCTGTGTTCAACTGCTCAGCTCTTCTACCAGCTCCATCTGAACTCTGCCACAGACAACAGATGAATGGTTGGGACTGTGTGCAATAATATTTTATTTCCAAGCACTCATATTTGGGTTCCAAATACCTTTCCTATGCTGTAAATCATTTAAGCCTTTTAGAAAACACAGGTAGTAAGCCTGCTGTGACCTGCCGGCTCTGTCTCATTTGCCTATCTGTTCTGAATGTTTTTTCAAGAAATGAATCAGAAAATGAATCAAATGGGCTAAATTATACACTGTTGCAGAGTGATACTCATGTATAAATTATATTTTGAATAGCATAAACAATTTCTTTTCCTCTTTGTTTTTCTAATGAGAAATAAATCCTTTGGTGCTGTCCCCATGTACAGAAACAACCAACACAGCAGGCCCGTGAGACTGAGTGGGGATGAGAACACGGGCCCAGGTCTGTCAGTGATGAACAGTTTGCTCCTGAGTAGCAGCTGTTAATGCCTGTCCCACTTCTGCAGAAGGAAATAACTGTGGCGGTGGCTTCCCAGGGAGGAGACACTAAAATCCTGTCCTTCCAAGAAACTGTGTGTTCTAGCCCCTCTATTGCAGCCAGAAAGCATGAGAAGGGAAAAGCCAAACGCTGTCAGGGACAGAACAAGACAGAGACGCTGTCCTTAAGAAAACCAGAAAGTCGCGAGGAGTATAAGCAGGACTCCCTGCTTAGTGCCTGAGAAAGGGCAAGAAGGAGGTACCACCCATGGAGAAGCTCCAGGTGGTGAAGATCCACCTGAGGAACATGGTCATCCTGCCCGAAATGGTGGGCAGTGTGGTGGGTAGGAGCCGAGCTACAGGTGAGTTCTCTCTCCATCACCTGCAAGCCTGTGAAGCACAGCTGGCCTGGCATCCACTCCTCCTGCTTCGTACTTTCCAAGAAGCCGTGGCCAAAAAACTCATGTTCAGTCCCAAGGGAAACAAAATCCAGTTATGACCAAAAATGAATAATATTGAAGAAAAAAGCCCCACCAAGGCAGCCTCCACGATGTAGGTAAGAGAGCAAATTCTATTTGCTCTGGTCTGAATGATATCAGCTGGCTACTGCTTCCAGCTGATTGCCAAGCTTTCAGAGAATTCTTAGAAACAGAAATGTAGGCGAGCAGCAAATACTGGCACCACCCCCAAAGGACGGAAGTCTCTGAGACCTAAGCAAAGAAAGTAAGTGCAGGATGGGTTCTGCTGTTGTGAAAGGACACAAGAGAAACATCACTGGCCTGTCTCACTGATGACAGGCGCACTTATAGCAGACAAGCCACACTCACAGAGAGAGGCCAGAAAGCAAGATGTGTACATGCGTATCGCCATAGTGGGTAGCTGTGTATGGCTTAGTAACGGTGCATGCCCTTGGAGTCTAATCTGAAAAATAAACAAATATAATGAGTCGAGACTTTCTAAGATGCGTTGTAAAATTTACACCTCCAGTATTAGAGATAATGGAGAAGTGTGTGCCAGGGGAACACACAGACCCACAAAAACAACCCAATACATAATATAAAACACTGTCGACACTTTAAAAAAATAGGTGGAAAAATAACTAAAGATTCAAAAACAAAATCCTCCTAAAGCTGAAAATACTACCTGGTATATAAAGAAGTATACTACGAGAATAGACTATGGGCAACAGCTTGGCCAGTGCCCTGGTCTTTGCTGATCACAAGCGTAATTGAGGGTCCTGAATTGCGATGAACAGCAGTTATTTTATTCAAGGGCTCAGCCCTTGAAGTTCACACACAGTCTCTGCATGGGGCTGCTCTTTCTGGAGCTCCTCAAATCCATACATACCAACACGAAGATTCCGAATTAAATGTTCCCATCCTCAGCTCTCCCCTGAGTAAGTGCAAAGCCGTTCCGCATGCACTTGGATCCAGACCACACGTCTGGCGGAGCAGCAATGACGATGGAACAGCACTATCGCTGCCTGCGCGTCTTCCTATACCTTCCATGCACTTCCTTAGCAGTCCATAACCTTGCTGGCTTCCTCGATAAGGAGGCTTTCATCCATTAAAAGCTCCCGGAGCTACAGCAGCTAGGATGAATGCCAGTGCAGACAAACGAAACACTGGAAGGTCAATCCTTTCCCCAGAATTCAATGTTCTATCCTTCTTGGGTGGCCTTTTCTCCATGAGAAGTGTCTGTGTGTGTGTTACATGCACGAGTGTGTGTAAGTTTCTCCCTATGTACATGCAGAGGCTACTCAAAAAGCTGGAGTCTTCCTCTATCTTTCTTTCCCAGAGACAGGGTCTCTCCCCGAATCACAGCTGCTGCTTTGGCTGGGCCACATCTCGCTGTAAATTTTGGAATCCATGCATTGACAGAGATCCTTCAGACATGTGCACTTAGAATTGGCTTTGTGATGCTGTCACGTCGTCTGTCACACTGTGGTGACGTCTATGTCTGATGTCCTCTCCCGCTATTACATGAGCTCCTTTACACCAGCAGTCAGAGCGCCACTGTAAACTCCACACACCTGACACTTAACAGTCAAATACGTTCTGAATCAATAAACAAACAATGCGATTTAGACGTCAGGCCGGACAGATTTGAACATGTTTCTAAAACTCCTGTTTTAGGCTGGATCAGCTGAGAAGACAGACACACTTCAGAGCGGTTAAGAATGCGCTTCCAAAGCCAGCAAGATGTTCAGTGAGTAAATGCACTTGCCAACTAGTCTGGTGATGCCCAAGCCCGGAACCCATGATGGCAGGAGAGACCCACTCCCAAGAGCTGCCCTCTGACCTCCACACATGCCAGATCCACGTGCCCAGGCACAAAGAAATAAATAACCATAAAAAAAAATCTATTTTCACATTTGATTAGTCTATCATTATAAAGTAGAATAAGGTCGCTAATTAGCTCACATGTTATATCACATGACTTAAAATCAGCAATGCAAAAATATGCATCTTATGGAAATAGAAAACACTATCCTGAGTGAGGTAAGCCAGACCCAAAAGGAGGAACATGGGATGTACTCACTTATATTTGGTTTCTAGTCATAAATAAAGGACATTGAGCCTATAATTAGTGATCCTAGAGAAGCTAAATAAGGAGAACCCAAAGAAAAACATATAGGCATCCTCCTGAATATTAACCTTCATCAGGAGATGAAAGGAGACAGAGACAGAGACCCACATTGGAGCACTGGACAGAAATCTCAAGGTCCAAATCAGGAGCAGAAGAAGAGAGAGCACGAGCAAGTAACTCAGGACCACGAGGGGTGCACCCACACACTGAGACAATGGGGATGTTCTATCGGGAACTCACCAAGGCCAGCTGGCCTGGGTCTGAAAAAGCATGAGATAAAACTGGACTTGCTGAACATAGCAGACAATGAGGACTACTGAGAACTCAAGAACAAGGCAATGGGTTTTTGATCCTACTGCACGTACTGGCTTTGTGGGAGCCTAGGCAGTTTGGATGCTCACCTTACTAGACCTAGATGGAGGTGGGTGGTCCTTGGACTTCCCACAGGGCAGGGAACCCTGATTGCTCTTTGGGCTGACAAGGGAGGGGGACTTGATTGGGGGAGGGGGAGGGAAATGGGAGGCGGTGAAGAGACAGAAATCTTTAATAAATAAATAAATTAATTAAAAAATATGCATCTTAAAATGTTCAAAATAATTTGTATTTTTCCTCTCAAAACTGGGATATTTTAGAGAAGTGCCCTTATAAAGGAACTTACATATAATATCACTGCCATTAAGAAGGTCAATTGACAGTCTACAGCCACTCCAAGAACTTGGTGTCCTCAGTGCAAGCATACAATTTAAAAGTATTTTTATTCATAAATTATATATTTTGCATTATGTTATTGGATGCAGCTGTTCCAGCCTAAATGATCACTGTATAATCAACTTAGTTTCTTCTCCTTGTCAGCAATCATAAGCAAGATGAAATAAAATTATACTGTTCAAAACTTGAAGATGAGCTCTGCTCCCTGGTCTGAACTAGGTGTGTGTTTCTGTTACATGGAAGCACTCCTTTGAAGATCATTCGTACCGACTTTACTTAGAGACTATAAATCCTGCCTTCTACACTGTGGATCACAGGGTACTGCCCTTAACCACGCCATCTCTGCAAACAAGGTCTGGGGCTGCAGCAGCACTTACCAACCAGGACCTGGCCGCTCTTCATGGCAGAGCCTCCTGGCAACAGGCCGTGCACCACAAGCCTCTCTCCATCGGCAGGCTTCCCGCTCCTCCTCCAGCTCCACTTGCTCTGATGGACGATTCCCACCAGCACTTCCAGGAGTTTGAGCTGCTCCCTGGGCTTGATGACGGTTAGCTTTTTGGGGTTGATATAGACAGTCACATCCTTGTACCGCTGTTGCACAGTGACCCCAGTCTTCTGGTTGGACTGATGCTTCAGAATGGACACCGGGCCATTGTCATTGCTGTTCTTTTTGTGGTAGCGCTTAGGTAAAAGTCTTTTGCTCTTCAGGATCTTGGTGAAGCGCTTGAGCTTGGGTTCATGCTTCTTTCTTTCTCTGGAGTCATCCTCTTCAATGATGACCTCCTTCTCACTGAACCTGACGTGGTTCACGGTCTGTGTCTCCGGAAGGAGGCTCTCCTCCTCATCCTCACTCAGTTCCAGGTAAAACAGCTCACCATTCCTCTGCACACTGTCCAGCCACTCGGGCTCCAGATCACTGTGTGAGAGAGGAAAGGTCACCTGCATGGTCATCCAACATGAGCAAGAGAGAGATGGGCGCAGGGTTAGAGTTTTAAAGAAGGGGAGGATCAAACAGGCAGAGTGATACAAAAGAAAACCAATGAAAACGGAGAAGGAAAGAACTTTTTCTATAATCTATTGGGCTATACTTTTAAAAATAAAACTAATTCAGGCTCATACCTGTAATTCCAGCACTTAAGAAACTGAGGCAGGAGGACTGCCATGAATTCAAGGTTAGCCTGGGCTACACAGTGAGTTCCAGGCTACAAAGTGAAACCCTAACAAAACAAAAACCAAAACAAAGCAAAACAACAACAAAACTAATTCAGAGACTGTGAAGATGGTTCGGGGGGGAAAGGTACTTGCTGTGCAACTATGAGGACCTGAGTTCAGATCCCCAGCACCCACATAAAAAAGCCGGGCTCAGGGAGGACATTGCACAGTGGAGTCCACTGAATTAACATGTTCCTTCTAGGAGGGAAAGGGAGGCTCAGGAGATTCAAGAGATAAAGAAAATGCCACACGTTTGGGAAAGTAAAAACTTGACAATTTTAGAAGACCCAGATCTACAGAATGAGCAGGAACTGCTGGGGAAGAGACTCTAAACAGCAGCTGCCCAGGGAGATGCTTGGGTCTGTGGAGCCGCCCACATGCTGTGCACAGTGGAGATGCTTGGGCCTGTCTATATGCTGTGCAGAGGGCTCTAGGGCTGAAGCTTGAGTCTCCCTTCATTCCGGGAGACGCATATGTTTTTGAGGTATCTCTGCCCCTTGAAAGTAACCCCTTATAACTCCTGTTAGTGACCCCCACAGATCCTCACTGACTCACCAAGTCAGACACTGCTGTCTGCTCTGCAGTGAGTAAATAATATGTGTTGTGTCTTCTGAGAAAAATCCCTCACACAACGACATGGTAGCTAGCACATGTCTAGCTCCAAGGGCAAGCTCAGGTTCAGTGAGAGACTCTGCCTCAAAAAGTAGGGTAAAGTGCAATAAAGGCCCAGCAATATCACCTCTGGCCTTCACGTGTGTACACCTGGGCAAACATGCCCATAACACCCAAATGTGCTTGTGGACACATGCGCGCGCACACACACACACACACACACACACACACACACACAGAGAGAGAGAGAGAGAGAGAGAGAGAGAGAGAGAGAGAGAGACCACTAACCCAGCCACCGTGTGGTTATAGCTCACTTTGGACATCTCAAAATTCGCATTGGTTATTGAAAGTATTGACTGAACTCACAGAAGCCAGCTGCCTGGAAAACACGGATAAGCATACTATCTGCATGGGGAGCACCTGGGATGGCTTCAGCTAGAATGAAGTCATGCATCATGTACTTTATTTAGATAACAATTTTCAAAAAAACAGCATCATCTTTCCACAGACTGCAACCATGGCCGGAACCAGGCAGCTATAATCACAGTCCGCAATGAGCCTAGCTGTAACCTCTAATTTCCGCACAACGCCTCATTAGCAGCAACAGTAAGGAGAGTAAAGCCACACTTTACATAATTCATCCTGTGGCCGTAAAAGAGGAGAGATGGGAAGTCGGTTGTTAGGTGCCCAAATTATTGCCATTAAAGTGGAAACAGCATTAAACGGCAACAACACCCATGCTGTGGCAATAAACTGATGGCTCTGTTCTGTTCTGAGGCACAGGCTGCCTTCCACGCTGCCATTCTTTGAGTGCCCAGGCAGGAAAGGGTTTAATCTGTGTTCTAATCGTCACCCAACAGAAGTCTCCTTTGCTTTCCTGAGTGTTTAGTAGCAACTCTGATTCTTGTATTAAATTTTTGTCAAGTACTGCTTTCTGAATACCATAAAAATTAGTCCCCAAAATATGCTATTCTATCACTACCATGGTCTGTACAGATGGTTAGTAACACACGGTCAGTATAGCTGGTTATTACACACGGTCAGTATAGCTGGTTAGTACACACGGTCTGTACAGATGGTTAGTACACACGGTCTGTATAGCTGGTTAGTACACACGGTCAGTATAGCTGGTTAGTACACACGGTCTGTATAGCTGGTTAGTACACACGGTCTGTACAGATGGTTAGTACACACAGTCTGTATAGCTGGTTAGTACACACAGTCTGTATAGCTGGTTAGTATACACACAGTCTGTATAGCTGGTTAGTATACACAGTCAGTATAGCTGGTTAGTATACACACGGTCTGTATAGCCGGTTAGTAAACACAGTCAGTATAGCCGGTTAGTATACACACGGTCTGTATAGCTGGTTAGTAACACCCGGTCTGTATAGCTGGTTAGTAACACACAGTCAGTATAGGTGGTTAGTACACACGGTCTGTACAGATGGTTAGTACACACGGTCTGTATAGCTGGTTAGTACACACGGTCTATATAGCTGGTTAGTCACACACGGTCTGTACAGATGGTTAGTACACACGATCTGTATAGCTGGTTAGTACACACGTTCTATATAGCTGGTTAGTCACACACGGTCTGTATAGCTGGTTAGTACACACGGTCTGTATAGCTGGTTAATATATACAGTCTGTATAGCTGATTAGTAACACAGACTTTTCAAGTGTACAATAATCATAAAAAAGTAAAGCAATAGGTGGCTAAAGACATCAAAACTAACACTTCACTGGTCTAGATGGTTCCAATACTTGGCATCACTTTAGATGCTCAGTGGCACTTAGATCACCAAGCACATATATCAGACGCTTCAACCTCACCTCTCCTTGAAGTTAGTGTTCAGCATCTCCCAGTTCTGATCTGAGGAGTCCAGACAGCTGTGAGCCTCCTGGAAGCCTTTAGGTGGCAAGCGAACAATAACCTTTCCTAAAATTCATTTATTTTTATTTTATGTGCATGGGTGTCGTGTCCCCGGGAACTGAAGTCACAGTCAGCTGTGTGCTGGATGGAAGGGGAGGGCCTTGGACTTCCAGCAGGGCAGGGTACCCTGCCCTGTCTTAGGACTAGAGAGGGAGGGAGGAAGGGTGAGTGGGACAGCGGGAGGGATGTGGGAGGAGGGAAGGAAGTGGAAGTTTTGATTGGTATTATTTATAAAGTAACAAAAAAGAACAATAAAATAAAATTAAATTAAAAAGTACATTACTGCTGACTCTTGAAGTCACTACAAAAATGTGAACTGAAACAGCTAGATTTAATTCCTGCTCTAAAAGAATTTTTTTTTTAAATATGGGTTCATTTTTGACTTAAAGAAGGTTGCAAAGGTGCTCCTGTGTTCCCATAAAACCCCGTTCCCCTGTGTTAACATCTTACCCAGCTGTTACTCGCCTGCCAGTAAGATGCTAACGCTGGCCTGTGAGCTGACTCCAGACTCCATTTTTGTTACGGCTCTTCTATTACCGTTCTGTTTGGGCTCCAGGATTCCACCCAGCAGATCGTGTTGCTGCTTGCCATCAGGTCTCCCTCGTCTCTTGTGGTTTGAGAGTTTCTCGGCCCTCACGTGGTCTCCCCCATCCACCTCTTGGTTAAGGCGATGTCTGTCCAATGCCCTGTTCTACAGCCCGTTGTTAACTTCTGTTTTTCTTTAGCTCCCTAACTCTCCCCCACCATTTCGCTTTTATGCCTTCCATATGCATCATCATGGGTTCTTTCTCAGCTTCTCTTCCCCACAAAACAAGGTTTCTGTTTGTTTGTTTTTTAACTTTGTGGTTTATTTATTATTATTGTGTGTATTTGCAAGTGTGTGTGTGCAAGTACATATGTACATATGTGCCATGTGGCATGTGTAAGAGCAGAGAACTCTGTGGAGTCCATTCTGTTCTTCCACCGTGAGGGTCCCAGGAATCGAACTCGGGTTGTCTGGCTTAGCAGCAAGCTGTTTTATCTGCTGAGCCATCCAGATATCACAGCAGTGTTTTCATTTACCACAGTGTAAATGTAACGTACTTACTACATTTTCTGCCCACATGGATCTGGAGAAGATCCACACAGTATGTATCCTGACCGGCACATTTCCTCATTTAAGTAAAATGGATATTTGCACTATCCCAGATAATTACATCCTCCTCCTCTTGAGAAAAGAACAGTGCATTTTTCCCAAAGTGGTCACCGTGAACTTAAATGACACTAGCAGGTATAACAGCAGGACAAGTGTAGACACACAGAATAGAAAACTAAACAGTGGGTGATGAGGTGATGGTTAATCTCACTGTCAACATTATGGGGTCTTGTATGGGGTCTTTCAACTGTATTTTAATAAAGACTGTCTAAATATCTGAGAGTAAAGCAGTCCCACTGGTCAGCCTTACAGACCAGGTTATGATAACATATGCCTTTAATCCCAGTAGCCACACTAGTTGCCATAGAAATGGAGAGGTGCATGCCTTTAATCCCAGTAGTGCACATCTTTAATTCCAGCCCTAGAGAGGAATATAAAACGGGAGGAGACAGCTCTCGACACACAGTCTAATGCTGAGATACCTGGAGGCAGATTGCCATTTCAGACTGAGGTCAAGGTAAGAGCCAGTGGCTGACTGTTTTGCTTTTCGGATCTTTAGGTTGAACTCCAATTTCTGATCCTGAGTTTTTATTAATCGTGCTTCATTCACAAAAATGCTCATTACCTGAGGCTTTTTAGCCACCAGCCCAGGTCAGAGTTGGGATTAAAATTCCAGGTCTAGGACCTGGACCCAAACCTAGCTACCTGGGTTAGGGAGAAAAACTAGCAGCCCCAGCTCCCATCTGCCCTGGCTTAACTTCCATGCAAAGATGGAAAATACACAGAGAATCTGGATACTGTAATCTATTGTGTTCTCTTTGAATTGTTTGAATGCTGAGGAAGGAGCAACAGCTGCTAAAAGACATTGGATTACTAATGCTGCTAGATTAATCCAACCTATATATTTTGAAAATGCCTTGACTTCAAAATTAAAGTCAAAAGATATGTTACTTGGAGAAGAGATTTTGCTTTTGTTTCTAAAGGAAGTGAGAGGCTATAGATTCATTCTGGGTTAAGAAAAATAAGATTTGATTAAAATGTCTTGACTACAAAATTTAAGTCAAATATATGTTACTTTGGAGAAGACGTTTCACTTTTCTTTCCACAAGAAGTGAGAGGCTGTGGATTCATTCTTGGTTAAGAAAAATAAGGTTTGATCAAGGAAGACCCCCTGAAAAAATCTCCAGTGGGAACAAATGACCCAGATGACCCAATGTTTCAGAGTATGTTTGTTGCAGTTTCCTCTGAGTTCTACATCCAGAACAACCTCAAGACTGATGATCCAGTCTCACAGAATAGTCCAGTAAGGACTTGACCATAATCCTAAATTTTCTTTGGGTCCCGATAAAATTATCAGCATCCCCACTGTGGCACTGAAACTTTACAAGAAAGCCAGGTGAGCATAAGCCTGCCTGCCTATGCCTACCAGCACCGCCCTCCACGCTTTCTGCCTTGAAGCTTTGGTTTGGAGGGATTGTTATAGAATAAAGAGCAAGCTGACCTGTCTTCAAGGCCCTGCCTTGACTTCTCTCAGTAATGAATGGTAACCTGGAATCGTAAGCCAAGTAAACCCTTTCTCCTCTAAGTTGGTCATAATTTCCTATTGCAACAACAGCCATGAAACTAGAACCACAAATTTCTAAAGCATTTTTAAGATGACAATGATAACTTACAAAAAGTTAATATTCTCACATTCGTTCAAAATTTTAAGAATACAATCTATCCCTAGTAAGCTTCCAGAATGGATTTAAGTAGGGTTTCCCTTCACTTTTAATGACAAAAAAAAAAAAAAGTGTTATATACTGTTCGTTGAAGATGCTGTAACTGCTAGTTCTAACTACACATAAAATGTTATCCTAAAACTGTAGATAACAGTGGCCTGAACCCTTCCACTGCCAGGCATTCACTATAAGTCACCACCGGCTTTTCCAAGAAGTCCTTAATACACAGCAACAGGTAGGGATTACTTAAAAAAATAAAATACTGTGAATCAAAATAACTCATTCATGGTATTACCAATAATTTTGACTTGAAATAGAAAGCTCTGGGGTTGAATAGAAAAAATATAGCATGAATATCTACCCTGAAGCCAGAGAGGCTGTCTTGATAGTGAGGTGCTGAGGAGACTTCCTCTCTGCAATCTATTTCTTTCCCTAAGAGGAAAACCTCTCCAGAGTTTAAAATAGTTGCCTTACAACATGTGTAGTGTCTCCTCCCTTGTAAATACGCAGAAGTCTGCAGGTGGAGAGGGACTTCAGAGGTTGGGTGCATTTGCTGCTCTTGGAGAGGACAGGAGTTCAGTTCCAAGCACCCACACAGTGGTTCACAGCCACTGGAAACTCTAGTTCCAGGGATCCAGCGCCTTCTTCTGGCCTTTATGGACACTGCACTCACGTGCACAAACACACAAAGACACATAGGTGCACACAATCAAAAATAATAAAAAGTAAATCTTTTTTAAAAATGCGCCGGAGTCCACGTCACAAGTAAGAAGGCAGTACTGCAGGACAGGGTTCAGGAGCAGCACAGACATCCTTCACAGAGCACAGAGCCCACCGGGAAGCGGGCACCACAGGAAGCAGACCAGCACTGCGCTCCCCTCGCTCGAGCTTGGGGCCCGGGACCCGCGATACCGAGGACCCGCCAACCCCGGGAGCCTTACGTGTCGCTGCTGGCTGAGGAGCGGGAGTCCAAGTCGCTGGCCCCGGCGTCGGAATCGTCCTCCTCCTCTTCCTCCTCCTGTGAGGACAGGTCGCCAGGGAGCTCGGCCGGGCGCCCACGCGAGTCTCGCCACGCGGGGTCCGACATCGTCAGGATCGCGAGAGCTCCTGGTGAAAGCACTCAGACCCCAGCACCAGCCAGCCGCACCTCCAGCCGCGCCGCCATTTTGCCAGGCCGGGCCACGTGACCCCGATGTTCAGCTGCGATTGGCTGAAGCGCCGGTTGCCCGGGAGACAGAGAAGCTTCCCGGTGAAGAAGCGGAGCTTTGAAGAGAGCCTATGTGTACTTCCCACAGGCTGTGCACTCTCTGCTCCGCGGTTCCACAAACAGAGAATGAGGCAGACATTCTTTCCCCCCCTTTTCCTTTTTTCCCTTCCAGGCTGAGTATTTTACAGTTTTACTTGTCCTGTTTTCTTTTTTTTTTTCTAATTTTTTAAAATTGTGATCCAAAAGGATGGGTTCCATTTGGCCAGGTTTGTTGTTCTTGTATTGACAGAGCCTTAGAGATAAAGAGCTTTTGCATTCATGCACCCGTAGGTGCTAATGCAAATATTTCAGTTCTTTCTTTTCAAAAACAATTTTTATCTGTGATTTGTTAATACTTAACATCAAGTATTTTTAAGGTACATAATAGCTATCACTGAGTCATTCATTGCCAACTCAATTACGTTCAGTCTCAATTCATATACTATGCTAAGTATTTGCATACAATGAAGTAAACAGTTCTCTATAATTAAATAAGAAACTGAAACTTAGTGAGGTAAGAATGGTTATGCAGCTAGCGGGCAACAAAGTCAACCAAGAAATGAACTTTAATTATTACAGCACACTACATTTTCTCCTCAGGAGCCACTGCTCCAGGTTTCATTTTCCAAGATCAGCCAAGTGAGAAAGTATTACGTGATAAGTTCTCAACGTGAGCAATGTGTTCTAGATTGCACATCACTCTGGGTCATGGTGAAATCTCGCACAGCCCTGCTCCCTTCTCTTGGTTCAATGTATGTACACTAGCATACTCAACTCACCTGCTGGTCCCTTCTAATAGCTGACTGGTTAGAAGACAAGTCATCAGGGTGTCAGTACCACAATGATTGTGTTCAAATAGGATGACTAGATCATTCACCTAATGTCACTCTGCATCTAGAAAAAAATACTGGTTTTCCACTCCTAATATACCACAATCAACAAAGAAGATGCCTATGACCTCAAACGGTATGGAGATGTCTCCCCCACAAGGAGGCAGTGGACCCCAGCAGTGTCCAGCTAATCCAGTAACTTCAACATGGCTGGAGATGCTCAGATAACACGTCAAGGGATCATTCCCAAGACTGCCGCCCCATCCTTTCCCTTAAAGATGGCAGTCACAGGCTCCAGCTTGTTTTTACTTGTCTACTGCCTACAACATGAGGTTCTCATAACCCTCTCCTTAAATTTGAATAATCTACTTGAGTGGCTCACAGATCCAGGGAAATCCTTATAGTTACCATTTTATTATGCATCATTACAAAGTCTCTAGATGAAAAGATACACAGGGTGAGGTATGGGAGAAGGAGTGCAGAAATTCAGTGATACCCTTCACTGTCCACTCTCTGAGAGCCTCCATAAGCTCATCAATCCGGAGGGTCTCTGGACCTTGTCTTTCTAGTTCTTATGGAAATGTAATCACATAGGCCAGATTGCTAACAGGCTGCACAGAAAGACTCAGCAATGCCTGGGTTTATTTATTATTCTACATTTCTTTCTTCTAGGAAGGGACAGGATCCCTCTGGAATGACAAGTGTCTTATGACCTACTGTCAGATAGGGACAGGTCACTGTATTAAAGAGGCTTGCTATAATCATTATATTTATGATAAAACGTATATACTTTCCCACCACTACAATTTCAAACAATCAGATTTGCCTAAGATTTCCTTCCAAAATAAAAATGTGCTTTAGGCATCTGCTTGGTAAGTTAGTCATTTGTTTGTTATTTGTTTGTTTGATACAGGGTCTCACTGTGCAGCTTTGGCTGGGCTGGAACACACTATGTAGGCCAGGTTGACCTTACATTCACAGAGATTGGCCTGCCTCTGCCCCCCAAGTTCTGGGAGGAGAGATGTACACAGCTATGCCTGGCTGCATTTCTTCATTTTTAAAGCAACCTAGTAGAAGTTTTTTTTTTAAAGTAAAAGACATTTAAAAATATGTTGTGTTATGTATGTGGGTGTTTTGCCTGCATGTATATCTGTGTACTAAGTGCATGCCTAGTACCCTCAGAGGCTAAAAAAGGGTCACAGACCCCTCTGGAATTTGAGTTCCAGACAGTTGTGAGCTGCCATGTAGCTGCTGAGACTCTTACCTAGATTCTCTAAGAAGAGCAGCAAGTGCTTCCAACCACCATCTCCCCAGTCCTATAAAAGACATTTTCATTAGCAAAATATCCAATTTTCTTCCCGCAAGCAATAGTCTATAATTTCTATGAGCATCTATTAATTTTACATTATGCTCATAAACCTCATAATGTTTTACTTCACTAGAGAATAGAGTCCAAATTCTGTATAGTGTTTAAAATGCTTTTCCCAGTTCAGGCTGGGGATGCAGCTCATTTGGCAGAGTGCTTATGTAGCATGCAGGAAGCCGTGAGTTCAATCCCCAGCACTCTATAAACCAGCTGTGGTGGTGCACATCTGTAGTCTCATCACTAGGGAGAGAGAGAGACAGGAGGAGCAGAAGTTCAAGGTCATCCTTGCTTTCGTAGAGAAGTTGAGGCTTGTTTGGGATTCATAAAACCTTGTCTCGGATACATTTTTCCCTACATCAAATAACTGAGTATCACCTAGGAGTTAGATCTTCTTTCCTATTATCTATTAACCTCATTAAGGAAGTGTGGCCAACACGTCTGATCAAAAGGGATCACTCACAACTTACTAAAGGTACAGTTTTTGAGACCTTGCCCCACATCAATGAGATCAGAATCTGCAGAGGAGAAGCCTATAAATCTCTGTTGTTGTTTTTTAAAGGACTTATTTTTTCCTTATGTATATGGATGTGTTGCTCGCATGAATGTGTGTGCACCATGTGTATGCCTGTTACCTGAGGAGGTCAGGAGAGGGTGTTGGATCCCCTATAACTGAAGTTACTGACGGTTATAAGCCACTATGTGGGTGCCGGGAATCACGCTGGGTCCTCTGCAAGAAAAACAATTATTCTAAACCATGAGCCATCTCTCCAGTTCCCAAATCTCTTTTAAGTGAGGGCCCCGAATGGTTTGGAAACCTTGGGAAATGATGCCCTAAGCTTTGCCCCAGTCCTATGAGGGACAGGATGGCTGGTACTTTTGAACACTCTGCCACCACTCCCACTTGGTGAATTTGAACCTACCTGACTGTCTCTGAATCCCTCCACAGAACCACATCTGTACCCCCAGCACGTCAGTCTCTGCAAGCTTCACTTTCCTGTTCTGTACATTCACTGCACAGGACTGTTAGGAGTATAGTGAATTGATTCGTGTAAAATACCTGATGCAAAACTTTTCAGTAGACTGAGTCACTCTGTAGACTTAGGCAGTTCTCTTGATGCTTCTACAGGATGCATTTGTTCAGGTACAATACAACCTTTACAGTACAACAATAGCTCTCTTTTTAAATAGCATTCCAAATACACCTACCCAAGTCAGAAGTCCTTTTTTTCTATCTTCACTCAATCAATATTCCATGCATATACATGTATGTATATGTTTGTGTATGTATATGCATATGCATAAATGTCCCCAAATGACAGTCTCCTAGAGACATGATGACATGACTGGCTGTCCCTTCTATAAACTTCTCTCCTTTCACAAACTTGACTCATAGAAAAGAAAAAGAAAGAAAAGATAAAATATCCTCCATAAAAGTATATTATAAAAAACTCCTTGTAATAAACACTCCATATGTCAGCTTCCTGGACTAATTAAGTTTCATCTGTTAGCTTAATGAGAGAGAGAGAGAGAGAGAGAGAGAGAGAGAGAGAGAATATGTGTGTGTAATGACCTTGCTTGATCTTTGTACAGACCCACATACAATATAACAACAATTATTTTTATTCTTAATTTAATTTGGGGGATGTGGTATTAGCAAATTGTATCTCTAACTTTATTAATTTTTAATATCCTTGTACGTGTTGGGAAAGAATGGAGAAAGAAAAAGACAATGGCATCAGGACCTTGTGAAAACACTCTGTTAGTCCAAGGGCTTAATAATTAGAAATCACAAGAAAACTTTAAAGACTTAGACTGTGGTATATTCTCATTTTCCATTTTTGACTACATAAAAATTGAAGTTCAAAAATGTTTAGTTTAACATGTAGGAGACAACAAGGTCCCAATTTCCATAGATTACCATCTCAATTAGGCAAACAATACAATTCAGACATAAAATACTCCAGATAAGAACATAATTAAATATTTACCATCGTTAGCAGGCTCAAGGGCTCTTTATTTAGTAGCTGGAGAAACCAGCAATGAGAGATAAATGAAAGCAGGGCTACGGGAGGTGATGTTGAGTTAACCCACAGGGCACGAATTTATGTCAGGGAGCTTTGTCGGGAGCTAATCAATATTACCCTAAGTGTGAACATAGGACTATGCTTTATGAAATGAGCAATAATAGGTTTAAAAATATTTTAAGGTGATTTTTAAAATGATGATAGGTCAATAAATATTTAAGATACTGTGACTTTCTAACGTTGAGTTTTCCAAAATTGAAGATAGAATCACAACACACAAAAGACACTCACAATGCTAAATTTATGGAATGAAGTTACAGTCTGAAATTTTAAGTTCCTCACATGAAGTTGGAATCCCTTGTTCATATGTACAGCACTTAATTGTGATAAGAGCATTTAACTGAAGATAGAGCACAGAGGAGGCTCTAGAAGCAGGCTGGGTAGCTCAGTGACAAAATGCTTCTTTATCATGCATAAAACTGTAGGTTCAATCCCCACTCCTGCAAAAACCAAACGACGGGATTAAATTACTTCCCATTCGGTCACCCAGTAGCGGAAGCAGATGACACCACTCGCGCCCCAAGCCCAGTTGGTCCAGCCTTACTTGTCTTCATGCTCCATCTCTACTTACAAACTATAAACGCATTTGTCAAACTATTCTGCCACCAGTTTCTTATGCATATAATGA